ATATTGCTAATGTATGCGATATTGCGCTTAATACCCCAGACAGACTATGGCTTATATCATGTAATATAGGCTGTCTTGCAATGAGCACTCATACATCTAGTTTTCACTGGAAATCCTATATATGAGTGCTCATTGCAAGACAGCCTATATTACATGATATAAGCCATAGTCTGTACGGGGTATAAAATTACACGAAATATTGCGTAAATTTATGCCAAATCTAGCGTTAATTTTATGTGCGACATGAATTACAAAACAAAAATTAGAAATTTACATGAATTTTTCGAACGGTGTATGGAATTTTATGTCTATTGAAAAACGATTTAACTATTGCCAGTAAAATACAGCTATACAAATCAATCATATCTCCTCATCTAGACTTTTGCCCTTCCATTTTATTTCTGGCCAATTAAACACTAATATCGAGATTACAGTGCTTGCAGAATAAAATAATGCGCTTGATTTTGCGATATAATAGATTCACTTCCTCAACTTTGATGCTGGATGGTTTACAATGGTTGTCGGTGAAGCCGAGGGTGAGGCAAAGAATTGTATTTTTGACTACGTTCATTTTTAAAATAGTTAACGGTTTGCTGCCTCGATATTTGTGTGATCAAATTGAAAGAGGAAGTGAACACCACGTTTCTTGACTTGTGCTTCACAGAATTCATTGTATTTTACAAGAATTAATGTTTTGAATTCCATGCCTAGACACATTAAGGTTCTATTTACTTTGATGCTTTTTGGAAAATTTCAAAGCAGTTTTTTTTCCGACGCATTATTTCAGATTGCAAAAAGCTCGCACTATTTTATTTCTTTTGATATTTTACACAAAATGACGCGAGCTTTTTGCAATCTAAAATCATGCGTCGAAAAAAACTGCTTTCGAATTTTTAAAAAATGCATCAAAGTAAATTGAACCTTAAACGCACAACAACATTAGCAGAATTGAAGAGAAATTGCATTTAAAACTGTCTTTGGATTATTTTGCATGGATAGCTGTCAAAATGACTTTTTACTAATTATTGTAGCACTGCAAAAACTATTTTAGTTAGCCACGATGGTGATGATGAATTTTTAATAGTAGTGGATAAAAAAAAAAGTCATCTACTAAGATTTGAGCCTCGCGCGCGTATTACAGATATAGAAAACTGAATTTAAAATTTGAAAAAAAAAAAAAATGCAATTTTGATGCTTATTTGGAAGTTAGTAGTTAGTACTTGAGTTAGTAGTAAGTTTTCTGGTAAATGTCGGGGATTCGTGAGCATTCCTGACATTACAAGAAATTATGATAGCATCATAATGCGGGGTTGCTAGTGTAATAGGATGCTTTGTTGATTGTTCATTAACTCTTGATCGCTTGTAATACTTATGAATATTTTAGGTGGACAAAAAAGCGAAATAAGAGGTGGACGCCTAAGCTTTCCCACATTTATATCGTTGTGAAGCAACTGTAAACTCTACAGGGAATTTATATTCGCAACTGTAACCAGTACGATTTTGTTTGCTAAGCTGGTTAAAATCTCAAATTTAATTATCTTAAAGATAAATCGTCCAGCTCAAACCTTTGTAGAGGTAAGAGGTTGGACCATCATTATCATCATTGAGGCCAACACGATTTAATCAAACAGTGTGAAGCATTGCTATTTTGAAAAAAAAAAAACATGTGCCTCTTTTGCCACAGTTGCAGGTACAGGGCTTATTAGATTCTCAAGATCTTGAATTGGATGCAGCTATTAAGCCACTATTCTTTTTTTTTTTTTTTTTCCTTCGGTTTGTTTTTTTCGTCGATCTTGTTTTCCGTGCTGAGCACCAATGCTACCGACGTGCCTGGAAGGCAGCTCCCATACCTGGACCCTATCTATCGACCCATCAACTCATGAACCGGGGACCAACGGCTTTACTTCCCATCCGAAGGGAGGCGTGATCAGAGATGTTATGCCTCAGAACATCCCGGCGGCGCCGACTGGGATTGAACCCAGGCCTGCAGGGGGGAGAGGTAATCACGCTTACCACTACACCGCCGCCGTTGAGCCACTATTCATCCAATTAAAAAAGAAGAGGTGAAAAGTCAAAACTTATTTTCACGTCTGGAAATTTTTGGAATTAATATGAAAGTCCAGAGCTGGTTGGAAATGCTATCTAACATGAAGCTTTTCAGTGTGATAATTTATTAGTTCCAGAATGGTCTTAGAAGAGGGTAGGTCTTGCCTCTGCACTTCCACGAGAAATGATTGATAAAATGATAAAAGGGTTGGGAATGCAGCAGCATTCGTTTTTGTAAACGATGTGCTGAATTGATGTCCTGACGATTGAGCCCACGGTCTGCTGGTCTGTAAGCAAAATCGGTCGCCACTAGACCACCGAGCTCCTTATGTCACAAAACAATTACGATCAAGTTTCCGTTCAACTTGTTGTCATCCCGCCGGCGACCTCACCAACAACGACCAAACAAACGGCTCTTAAGAAGGATAAGGATTTGATATGGATGTCCGATCAACACGTCTTTCCTAAAACTTAAATATTACTTACGTACCCGGCCCTCCATCCAAATTTCTTTACGCTTTATATTGCATTATGAAAGAAAGCCGATTTAAAGTTTAACCAAGTGCAGAGGTGTTCTCGGCTTTCATTAAAGCGAGTATTACGTCAACATAACACCCATTCCTTTCTTGACCAGCATTCGGATGTGGCCCGTGCTGGTATTGCCTAGTTTTAGATCACCAGTGTTTACACATTGAGGATGATTGTTAAGGGCCACCCACATTAGATCCGTTTGCGTTGCGTTGACGTAAATTTGACAGTTAGACAATAGATTTAGCTGTCACTTTGCCTCAACGCGTTCGATCCGGATCTAATATGCGTGGGCCTTTAGTCCCAAGAAACTTCTATCGGTTCTCTGTTTAATTACAGCTGATACGAGGGGCGATAAATTCATAAATCAGCTGAATTGTAAATACCCTTCGGATACACAAAAAAATACGTTAATGTGAACACGTTGAAACTAAAACATCCCAATAAAAATACTCAAAAATACCTCGAAAATACTTTGTATACGAAAAATATGTTTCATAATGAATTGAATACACTTTAATACAAAAATACACCTTTTCAAGTCGGGTAGATGAATCGAAAATACTCAAGATGTATGTATGTATGAGTGCTCATTGCAAGATAGCTTATATTACATGATATAAGCCATAGTCTGTCCAGGGTATCCAGCTTTCCATGCTCGGTAATGGCGGCCTGTTTGTATGAATAAATGTATCCTTCACTGTGCTTTTTGACACTATCTGGATGTTCAAATTTCAACCCCTTCCCTTTCCCTCTCCCAGGAACAGAAGAAAATGGAACAACATACGCCCTCCAGTTAGTGTCAAAAAGCACAGTGAAGGATACATTTATTCATACAAACAGGCCGCCATTACCGAGCATGGAAAGCTGGATAATACACTCTAATGCACAAAATTTAAAAATACATAAACACGATAAAATACAAAATACACCTTTTCAAGTCGGGTAGATGAATCGAAAATACTCAAGTTGACAGCCCCTCGAGCTGATGTGGCAATAACGGAGTAGCATGCACGGGCGGTCAATCATGCTCATGCTCATACTCATATATAATCTTCATCTGACTAACAGCCTTAATGAAACTGGGATGGGGGAAAGCCTAAATGACCCGGCTACAAACAAATGCCAACCACACGCAGGCGCAAAAACCCGAGGGGGGCGACACATCTAAATCTCAATTCTAGGTGCTCAAAAAATCTAACACTAGCGAATCAATCTTCGAAAAATCTTCACTCATTTCTCGGATCTTCTTGCATCGCGCATCATCTTTTTGCAGCGTGCGCGCAGCTATCCACAGCAAAAAACAATCTTCCCTGCATCGTAGATAGAGTCGCCCCCTCGCAAAAACCTCACATTTTTTAACACAACATGTCCATGATTAAAAGCCGAAGCATACATAGAACAAAACTAAATTCACAATATAAAATAATCACAACCACAACCCGATAATCGTAATGATGAGTATTTTCGATTCATCTACCAGACTTGAAAAGGTGTATTTTGTATTTTATCGTGTTTATGTATTTTTAAATTTAGTGTATTAGAGTGTATTAAATACATTATGAAATGTATTTTTCGCGTTCAAAGTATTTGCGACGAGATTTGCGAGGTATTTTTGAGTAGTTTTATTAGGGTATTTTAGTTTCAGCGTGTGCACATTAACGTATGTTTTGTGTATTTTCCGAAGTGTGTATTTACAATTCAGCTGATTTAGGAAGTTGATCGCCCTTCGGGAGTTTAACCAACAATCAATACGAAACTAACGATTTTAAATTGGCTCACCACTTTAGTAGCCTATTGGTCCCAAGCAAACGATTAACGTGCCCTATTCTAGTTGAAATTCTATTACTACACTATGTTTGTTTTGATTCGCTATGAAAGTTTGACAGATAACATCAGGGGTGTGTGGATTCATGCAGAACATGCAGGGGTGAGTGAAATAGCTTGGGACTGCTTGGGACCGTTGTTCTGGTACTGAGTGAGCCAAAAATAATAATGATTTTCTTCGGGACCTACTAGTCTTAGAGTTACCTCTATGGTTTAACCCCCCATGTTTCCAATGAAAGTGTTATTTTGAACCACCCTATTGGACATCTAATGCAATTTAACGGTTTTTTGTATATAAAAATTACAACATTAGAAACATAGATCCATCCTACAGCAATCAATTAATTCTAGGGTTAATTACGTCTGTTCAATAATTATTATATATTTTAAATTATTTTACATTTTGTTACTATGATTCACGAGGGCGCATTTCGTGAACGCTCACTTTGTTATCGCTGCTCTCTTAACAGGCAACCTTCCTCAAACAGATAAACTACATACTCTCTTTTCGCTCTTTTCGAGCTTGAAAAGAAAAACGTCAAAACGAATGTGCATGGTTGTCAAACAAACTTCCATTCGGCTCCACTCGTATTCGCAGATTGATGCAGCTGCTTTGTTTTGTCAAGTCGATCTCTAATTTTGTAATCGCGATAACTTTGATTGTTTCTGCTTCTTTCAAGAGTTTGAAATCTTAAGTTCTGTTCAAATAGTGCACTAGTTCGGCTGATTGTAAAAATTGCTAAGAAAACAACAAGTAGCGCTATTGCGCGTTGGAAAATGTAAGTTACCATTCAATGGATCACAGTTTCTGCTGAGAAAAATCGATAATCAGTATCAGCCTTCTCTCGTCTTTTTCATTCAACTATTCCATGCAGAGATGCCTTTTCCCGACGCGAATGTTTATTGAAAATTAATTATTGTTTGTTTTTGTTTATTTTCGAAAAAAAAAAGAATATTGGTCTACATTAATTTGTTTGTATCGTTCCTATTAGGATTATTTTTGAAAATTCAATTTTGCTTGAATTAAATATAATGGATAAATTATATCAAGATCAGCAATGGCCATTCGTTTTTAGCGGGTTTGATGCTTTATGTTGAATGTGGACGGCTAAGACCGCTCGCTATTTTCATTTTTGACTAAAACATTCTTCGTTCAGCGGGCGACATAAACAGTGCCGCTGTGCACACTTATTGATGCCTTGATGCAAATGGGGACTAAAGGGTATGATGGACCTATTTTTTGCAAGTATTATTATTATTATAGTATTATTATTATAATAAATTACCCATTTTTAACCCGCCTTTCTGTAAAAGTGCGGTAAACAAACCATTCGGAACATAACGAAATATTCACACCACACTCGCTCTTCACAATAGGATGGATATTAGACTGATGCTAAATTTGATATTATTGCTCCATAGTGCTGGAACCGTGAGCCTCCAAAAATTTGAACTCATTTGGTAAGAAACTGATTTGACACAAACCATTTGACATTTAAATGGAAATTACCTTGGGAAAATTGTATTCTACCCACTAACTTATTTATTTTGATAATTGCCGAAATGATTCGGAAATGGGTTATTTGTTATTTATTTATTTATATTTTTCAAGCCTTTTTAACATCTAAATTCCTGGGCATCAGGGTTCACCAGTCTAGATATCATAAATAAATAAAACGCGGAGGATCCACTTAGGTACACATAAGCATGCATGTGCAAAAACTCAAGGGTAACGCGATAGTTTCCAAGTTAAAATCATTTAGCGTACACAAATAAAGGCTTAAAGAAAATATTTAAAACGAATAAACATTAAAGACATGTTCACAAATAATATAATAATCGCGGCAGTCATATCTTTAAAATGCAAGATGTTATGGTAATTAGTGATTATGAATAATTTATAAATTGCTTTTGTTATTCAAATCCATAGTTGAACTATTTTTGCACGCGGTTTTGATTTCAAAATTACTTTTTTTTACTTATTTTTCTTTTGCACGGGCTTAGAGTATTTTTTTCTCATTTATTTATTTCATTTACTACGCGGTTTTAGGAGTGAACGTGGGTGTCATGTTCTTCTAAATTACCTATAACAATCCTCAATTCTCAAATTTTATTCAAAGAGAGCGGTAACCCTTACTTTTTAATTATTATTTACTCAAATAGTTGATTAATATTGTACTCAAATAGTTGATTAAGTTTCTTTTTTTTCGTGGGGTTTCAGCTTCAGCTTGAAATTATGAACACCGTGAAATTTTAGTGTTATTTTGCAACATTTTTATCAACCTAAAAGCCACCAACCACCTGCCTTGATCTATCCGTATCCCTTCCTATGGCGATTATGTAGTTTGCATGTGACGATTCGGCCATTATCCCTCCTTTATTATCGCCCTTGAATTAACTTGCGCTTTAATGCCTTGTTCAGACTGCTTATAATAATTATCGACAAGAAAAATCTCATCAGGATAGGCTTATAACATGTTATAACTGCTCAGTCTGGCCAGCCTCTCACCCTGCGCTGCGAAATGAAATTGAATAGGGGTAAAGTTGGCTTCGGCAATACCTTAACCTATTATCGTCAGGGGGGTAAACAACGTCCTTGAGAGCTCAATTTTGGTATGTGGATACATTGTGTTTCAGAGGCCAAATTTGAGTGCTCTAGGACTTTGTTTACCCCCTGACGATAATAGGTTAAAGTATTGCCGAAGCCAACATTTCCCCTATAACAATATAACATACATACGATGAGAAAATTTGAAACCTCCCTTAGCTCAGTCGGTAAAGGCACAGCTACAAAGCAAGACCATGCTGGAGGTGGCTGGGTTCGATTCCCGATCCAGTCTAGGAATTTTTCGGGTTGGAAAATTTCTCGACTTCCCTGGGCATAGAGTATGATTGTACTTGCCACACAATTATACTAATGCAAAAATGGTGCAGGCATCGAAAGCTCTCAATTAATAACTGTGGAGGTGCATCTAGAACGCTAAGTTGAGAGCACGCAATAAGCTAATATGCCATACGCAATAAGCTTGAAATGCGAGGAAGAAAGAAGAAGAAGAGAGACGATGAGAAAATTTGGTCGAGATGTGCAACTTTTGTCAGTTTACTTTCCATATAATTTAAAAGACCCTCAAATCACTACCATCATGCTTTAATCCTACAGCTTTCGTCACCATGCAACCTGATCCATCTGCATATCATTGTGCGATATGCTTGCTCAAACGAAATCCGCTAGATACCTTGAACGGGTCTACGATAGCTAGTATCATTGCGCAAGGTCGCCCCACTCCAGCTCTTCCGGGACTCTCGAAGGAATGTCGTTACAAGGGCAAGGTGTTCACCAGACGATTCAAAAAGGATAATTATTTCCGGTATAACTGGCTCTCTGGGTGTGGAGTGGAGAATAAGTTGTTCTGCTGGCCTTGCTATATCTTTTCAACGGATCCAACAGATACTTGGGGTTTCAAGGGTTTTGACGGACTGAGCAATTTTAGTAATTCAGTTAAAACTCACTTGAATCAGGAGTTGCATATTTTGAACACCGAAAAGTATAACGTTTATGCATCAGATGAGCACAAGATTTGGTCCGAACGATTACCTATGCAACAACCGTCTTTCACAATCAGTCGGAAAAAGGTGGACATCCTACCTGATCTTCCAATGGTAGCCGCAACCAACAATTATTCTGAAGAGGCAGATGAAGATGACGATGACGTAGAAGTTATTCGGCATTCAGACGTAATGGTGGAACTAGTAGATGACAGCGTAGACGGAAATGCAAGTATGTGTCGTTTTTGGAAGACATTTTGGGATTAAATTATGTTTCACTGCTTTTCAAACTATGCATCATTGGCAATAAAGGCATCCTGTTGTGATAATGACGAGAAAGACACATTCAAATTTATCAATTTGTAATAATAATTTATTGTTTTCGAACGCAGCTCCCGGTCATGATGGCCTCCAGCACTTCGGCATTTCATTGCATTGTCTGTACGTTGACAAAAATCCCGTTTGCAACGTTAGGTAAAGACACTCAGCAGAAAATTGTTAAAAGTGGTAGACCCACGAACCAAATGCCCAATCTGCATGCAAAATATCATAACCCCAATCTGCCTACCCACAATTGGATGACGGGATGTGACAAGAACCAACGGCTATACTGTTGGCCTTGTCTACTGTTCAACACCAGTGAATTTGATATGTGGGGAAAGCGTGGATTTTCCGATTTTCATCGATTATCCCAAGCAACTCTTGAGCATTCAAAAGATGTTTCTCATCAAGCGAAAAGGAAGACGTTGGACCTTTGGATGGAAACATATTCCGACGGAAGCGACGATAGTAGTGAAGAAGAGCTTGAATGTATTCCCGAGTTAGATTTCCTAAACTCGGATGTTCCAGAAGAGGAGGATGAACTGGATATAAAACCTAATGTGGAGGCATTGAATGCTTCTTCCTCGTCTTCATCACAACACGCTGTAACGGCCATTCTTGATCTTTGTGATCCAGCGGGGGTGAGAGAAATTGAAATGCCTGGAAGTAGTCCGATCGTCGTTAGGGATAATTCTCCAGAACCTGCTTTGGCTACTTGTACAACCACAACATCTACTGCTACTGCTACTGCTTTTACTGCAACCACCATCGCTGAGTCACAGGATTACGAGAAAGCAAACATTTATCGTACGTTTTGTTCTGCATGCAATTCCGCCTTCTTATACAATGTTTCATTATTATGACTGATTAATAGTACTCATTAATGCTTTAGTCTTTACAGGAGACTCTGATTCTCAAACTGCAGCATCCGGCGCGGAAAAGTATCAGCTCAAATGGCATTCACATCAACAGAATCTCAATTCGTCCATTTCATGCCTCTATAAGTACCTAGAAAGATGCACGTGAGTTTCATTGAACAAATTGTATTAATTAATATTCGCTTTCTTGTAGAAATGATCGCTATGCTGACGTGATGCTTATTACCTGCAACAGTGAGGAAAACTTTGCAATACCAGCACACAAGCTGGTCCTTGGAACTTCCAGTACGGTAAATAGGGTTGCAATTAGTAATGTTCGTTCCGATCTTTTACAACGTCATACATTTGCAGTACTTTGCCAACATTTTCGATAAGAATTTTGCCCCAGCAAATGCGATGACATACATAGTACTTCCCCCGGAACTCACGAAACGCGCGATCCAAACACTGATCCAGTATATGTATACAGGAGAATCGACCGTGTCCGTAGATATTCTCAATGAAGTATTACGTGGTGGTGAAATTCTAAAAATCCGTGGTCTATGGCGGAACCAAGCCGAATCATCGGCGCATTCTGAGCAGCAAGGTTCAAAAGATGGATCCAGTCGACATCGGACAGAACGTATTTCTGTGGATCGCATTCCGTTACAGGAACCTCGCATAGCACAAAACCCTGTAACGGCCCATGACAGTCCCGTCATAGTCACGAATTCTGCTAAGAGTTATGGAATAAGTCAGACTGCTCAAATGCCCGCAAGTTCGTCCACACCGATCATCAACGTAAAGAAGGACGTTGCAATTGATCCTGGCGAAAGAAGCAGCAGATCGCAAAGTCAGAAACGTTCGTTTCAGGAATTACACCAACAAGCACAACGACAGCAAGGTTCAGCTCAAATTTCCGCCTGCAGACCATCGCCACCTAATGCTGATAATACCCTTACTCCAGGCACTGGAACTCGGTCGATGCCTGAAGAGTTGAACTTTCTTAGCGTGAAGGAAGAACCCGTCGAGTGGACAGATGTCAATGCAGAGGAAATAAACCTGGATAAATCTGACATGCCGATGGTGAAGGTTGAACTTAAAGAATTTGCTGTTGCCGATGAAAATCATGGACAGAGCCAGGATCAGGTTTATTCTCCTCTTACTTGCGAGTTGTGTAGCGAAACATTTACCGTGCCAGCCGAATGGGTTCGCCATATAGAAAGTCATACCGATCCACCGCATACGGTATCCAAACGGCGTAGACGTATAGAAGATGTAAGTAACAGAAAATAAAACAAATGCTAATAGGAAAATTTACGTATTTTCGGCAACCTAAGCAGCGACCACCTTTCTACTAAATAATATGATTCATAAAAACACAAAAATATCTTATAAAACAATTTCTGCTATGAGTGCATGTCTTGCCCCCAAGGGAAGTAAAGACGGTTCTGAACAATTATGTCAACCCATCTTACCCAGTCGACCCCTAACAGTTAGTTAGTTAGTTATCTTTATTAAGGAGACTTTCAGCCGAACGCTGGTTCGTCTCCGGGACCCCTAACAATTAAGAATTATAAATGCTGGAAAAGTAGTTTCCAACAAATCTGCCGTCCTAACTGTATATCCATCGTTTTATTGCAGGACGATGGGGCCGATGCGACAGCAGCGCTAAAGTGCGACTTGTGTGCAATGTATTTCGTGACACCTGCCGAATGGGTTCGCCACGTGCAGAGCACCCACACGGAAACGGAACTAGCCATCTCCAATAATAGTGGGTATTCCCGAAGAAGTTCCAAATCTACAACTTCCGATCCACAGCACTCGGCAGCAACGACTACGGCGGCAGGTCAACAGCAGGAAAAATCATGCTCGATTTGCAACAAAAGCTTTCCCTCCTATGCCAGCATGCTCATTCACAAACGGACACATACAGGTTCGTGCGCTAACTTTGCTTCGTTTATCACAGTTTTCTAATAGCACGATCATAAACTATGAATTTCAGGCGAGCGACCATTCTATTGTGACATTTGCAATAAAGGCTTTAACGTGAAATCCAATCTTTTGCGACACATGCGAACGTTGCACAACCAGCACGGTAGCCAGTCTCCTACATCAGGCGGCGACAGTCACGGCTCGGACTAGAATGCACATAGGTGTATGTAATAGGCTGCATACCTTCTAATCTACAATTTAAACTGTCTTCTTGACTGGCCAATACTGATGGTCATCATTTTATGCTAAGACGCTTTGTATTTTCTTTGTACAACCCCTAGGGATGTATGAGAGTTCATTGAAGGTAAGTCCATTCACCATGATAAGTATTCATGTTCGTTTTCATTACGATGAATGTTTACATGATAATTCCCACAGAAAACACAAACTGTAAAAATAGAGTTAAGAAATCCGTTGGATTTAAAAGTGATAAGAGGAAGAACATTTTGGGTTCTTTTCTTTCGGATTAACATTAGTGAGGCTGATTTTAGTATCAGAAATACTAAATATATTTTTTTTTTATCTATCTAATGTCGTCGATAAATGTTTGCTAAATGTCCGAAATCCAGAAAAAAATAATAATATTAAAACAACGAAAAAGTGAGATTAAGTTCAGTTGAATGTGCATGAGTGATCAAAGTGCGAGATTTTCAGTCATATTAACTGGAAGTGAAATTGTTATCAGGGCTTGAAATGTTCTAAAACACCCCGGCTGGTTCTGCTGCAGCATTGTCTTTTCCAGGAATCAAGCTATGCTACACGTAGTCTTTTTGCGTCATTCCTAGAAAGAGTAAAGTTTCGATTATTTATAGCATGTCAAAAAGCTTAAAAAAATGAAATTCAAACTCGGCCTTCTTGCATGAAACTTTGCATAATAATTGTTTGATTTGAGCTAAAATTCGGTCATTTTGAATCTGAAAAAAAATATAAATGGCGTGTTTCATATTTTTCAACAAATTATAACAATAAAACGTCACTTCCAATCGAAATTGTAAAAAAATGTATACTTTAAAAAAATCAAGATATTTCAAGTAAACCTAAATCACAAAAAATGATTTATTTTGAAAAAGTTTTATTCATAAGCTTATGCAAAATGATAATTTCTGTGAATTTTTCAAGTTGGATACTTGAAAATTAACAAAAATCATAGAACAAGTTCTGGTAAATTTTTTAAACTTTTTGTTTATACAATTTTTCTTTCAACAGCGTTGATAATTTACAGAATTTAGCATTTGTTTTTATAAAAAATGTTCAAAAATATTAAAGAGGAAATTTTTTTGTGATTTTAGTTTCAAACACTTTTTTTTTATTTTTTAAACCTTATTTACTTGATTTTTTTTTACCGTGTATAGGAAAATTGTGTGAAAGGAATTATTTTTCCTACAACTTTGCCTCATTCGTCATTTCGATTGTAAGTTTCATGTAAATTGGAGAAGGTCGCGTCAGATAGTTTCGTAATTTGGCGAGCTATTGCTCTAATGGGTACATTATGTTCAGAGTGTGTCTTATCTGATTCAATGGATGCAACGGAAGTATTTTTTTATATATCTTTATTAAGGAGGAGACTTTCAGCCTTTGGCTGGTTCATCTCCGCAATGGAAGTATTTACTAAACACACAATTTGATAAAGCAAAACATAAGCATAAGTGTCTGCGATAAAAATTAGTCACACATAAACTGCTGTGAATGATTAATCAAGTACCGTGCCGATTCAAATTTCGGACACTTAAACTCGAATTTCGGACACTTTTAAAAGTTGATTATCTCGGTCGAATATGATCCACATGTCTTGTAAATTTTAAATTTTTTTGACTAGTGCCCTCCACGATCATCTAACATTATTACTTTGTTTCTAACTGGATGTAATATTTAATTAAAAATGAAAGTGTCCGAAATTTGAATCGTCCGAAATTTGAATCGTCCGAAATTTGAATCGGAACGGTATGTAACGTGCAATTATTAGTGAACATTGTTTGCAGTGTACTGAACATGTAAAAAATAAACTCGTTTCAACGACGGAACATTATCCCGGTAGTATAATGCCTGAAGGGCAAGAAAACCACAAGTTAATAGAAAAGTTAGTCTGCTGGATAGGTGACGATACGGTTAGACACATACCTACAAAGCTTGAAAGCAGTTCTGCTTTCAATCAGCAAATTGTTGCAAGACGGTGAGTAGCTATATCCATTTAATGTACATCAGATTAATTTTGCTACCTGTTTCCTTTTTTGATCCCGATGAACTCTGCGTTGACGGCCTCGACTTGACTGATCCAAGGGCAACTCCATGCCATAGGACCAGATTATTCATCATTCGTTTTTGACGTAGGACTACGTCTATGATTTCTATATGGGGGTACACTTTGTGAAAACCGAAAATGGAACATGTAACAAAATTATGAAATATTTTGAACGTTAATAACTCAGCTGTCCCTGGACCAATTTAAATAATTTTATCACCAATCGATCAGAAATATTTCTACGCACACGTAAATTTTTAAGACTTTATCATTGTTCAAAGTGTCAGTATTGAAAATTGCACGAATGTGCAACTGTTACAATGATAATTAAGATTATCACCGATTGCCTGCGAAAAGCGATTTCCCTAACACAGATTTCAAAGTTGAATTCCATTTGGTCTCACCAAACAAGTAGCGAGCTGCAGCCCACATGACCATCCTTAGAAGGAGGAAGAAGCCGCACAGCTATTGATCAGAATCAGTAGCTCTTTGTGAGTCGCTGTGGGCCATCTATGTCAAGTGCGTCATACTAAAGAGTATAAACAGAGAGAACCCCGCTCAAATTCCGGTTCCTACACAAAACGCAAGCTCCTCAGTTGACAAATAAGTTTTATTATATAAGACCACGTAGTCCTACGTCACCATTGCGAACCCCCATTGGGTAGTTTTTTTTTATAATTGTTCTGTTATTTAATTGCCGTAAATGGAAAATTTTAGTTTAGAATTCAATGGATGTCACAAAATCCTTCGAAATATCTTTATTTATTCAAAGCTAAGCATATTTGGTATCATGCTGGTATTTGGCACACACATTTTTTTGACTAATTTCAAAAGTAAAGCAGACAAACGTGTCGCTGTGGTTTCGATTCGAGCTGCAAACATAAGGAAAAACGATATTTTTCATGGATTTTTACGATTAAACTTGAACATTTTTAGACTTACTTGTTGGTGGTACAGTAAACATAATTTTCAAGAGCAAATTTTGCTAGAATGGAGCAAATTTGTTGCGAATATTGCAGTCAGTAATCAACCATACGACGGTAGAAATCGAATTTTCTAGAACTGGCGTTTCATTTGATAAATCGAACACAATTTACTGAGTATATCCAGCAAAACATTTCTGAATGCTGGATGGTCGGTGAAATGTAGTTTTGGTGGAATCAGTTCAGCAATTCATTTTGCTGGAACTTGAATTGATGTGAACCTTCCTGCGGATTGAACGTATTGCCAATTCAGAGAAAAAACAGCATTTGGCAGATTATCAGCATTAATGGCATGCTGCGGCTATCAGTTGCGTCGTAATGTTTTCCCTGAACTGGTAATATATTCGTTATGAGTTCGCTCATGTTCTCGCGTTACCACTTTAACGCATCGCCGAGTAGATGAAAATATCTCAGTCATACAAAACTATGATCTTGATATCAAAAAATGATATGCATTAACCAGTGGCGTCCCGTAACCTCACTTTTTTACCTGTGCACCAACTTTCAAAACCAGATTTAATGCCATATTCATACTCGAATCGGTTGAAAAATACACTTCATCTTCTAGTTTACTCGAAATCTATCCCTTGCAAGTAGTATTTGGATAATTGTTTATGTTTTGAGAGTTAGTGTACACAGGTAGATTGAGGTTAAGAAAACGCTACTGGCATTAGCACGATATAAGAGAAATGTCATGAAATAATAACTGAAATTTGTTCCTGCAATATCGTTCCAACAGCAAATTACGGTTACCAGCAATGGCAGTTATGCACGAATACATTATACCTTTTGAGATATTTCAGTTTTTAACACTTTTTTTTTTTTAATTTTTACTCAAATTTATTAACAAAAAATACCATTTTTATTTTTCACAGAAGGACTTCACTTTTCTAAACAACTTTGTCTCAGACATTTCGCTCATAAGTGACTTTTTTGTGCTACAATTTATTGAAAACTTCCCAAGAAGTCCATAACACACAATTATGCAAAGTTTCATGTAAATCGGAGAAGATCGAGCCAATGCGGTTCTAGTTGTGGAGTTGCTTGTGGGATACTAAACAATAATAAAACATTTAAAAAAACAACAAGCGCTAATTAAAATTACTAATTGTTTGGGCCCATCTTCAAGGAGACCCTAGTGGAAATGTAAGTTAACACTAGGAAACGACTGTTACGATGATAAAACTAACAGTTCTATTTGATACTTGTCGACTGCTAAGTTTGATTTAAAAACGAGATATCTATCGGTTATATGGTTCTAGATGAAAATGAATTATTAAATTAAATTAAATAAGATAGTTCAAATCGAGATTTCAATGTCATGCTTTATTCTGAGATATTTCACGTGATCGTTTTTATATAGTGCAGCTTTTCAAATGTGGTTCAACCTTTGGATGCGCGAATTTTAAAAACTAGTATTAGTAGTCAACATATATATGATGCTAGTATGTAGATAGTGTAGAACGGGGAGTGCTGTGAACGACCTCAATGTCGCACCACTCAACTTGTGGGTATGCTTACGCTAGGATGTCATAGTTGTTCTCGCCGGATTTTCGGCTTTGCAAGAATTTGGTGTGATTTTCCGTTGATATGAATGATTTCCTGACCGCTTCATCTTTCTCCATCAGTTCACGCCATTGTAACTAGAATTTAATCAAGAAATCAAGAAAACAAATTCTTCTAATATTCTACATTACCTACCAGTTTACCGAATCGTTGCTTATCTAGTTCGTACTTATCTCCGAGAGCAAACTTGAGTAAATCCACGCGCTCGCACCACGGCCAGATCATGTAGTCCAACATTCCTGGTTTATCACCACCATAATACGGAGTACCACGGGTCTTCAGTTCCGTCTCGAAAATATCTAATCCAGTTCCAAATTCCGTGATGGCACCCGGAGGAATTCCGTCAGTTGAGAACAGAATTCTATAGTAGGGTGAAATGACTGCGCCATTGAAGCGTTCAATCAATATTCGATCTTGAGCCTTTTGGAATGGATCATTTGGATAGAGCTTCCGTTGCTTTTCAGAGAATGCTTCCTCTATGTAATCGGCCACGACTAGCGATTCATAGAGGGTAACGTTTTCTTTTCCAGGTACTTCCAATGCCGGTACCTTGCCCAGAGGATTCTTTTCAAAGTACCATTCGGGTTTCTCGCTTAGATTGATATAGATGGTGTGATAGGGTACATTCTTCGCATCCAGGATCAAATGAACGCGTTGGGCGTATGGACAGAATCGCATCGAATAAAGGCGAAGTTTCTTGTCGTTTGGCAACACTGGCGGGGTTGAACCTTAAATTAGAGATTTTATGGCAATTAGTCGCTATTAATTATTGAATTGCTCTTTAGTAATCCTTATACTTATTGTTTAGTTACTATTATCACCCATATTCTCGTTTACATTCGAACCGTATTGTCCACAAACAACAAATGTTTTTTGTGTGTGAAAAATACGGTTTGAATGGAAATAAGAATGTATGGGTGTATAGCTCGTGTTTTATTTGAGGTGGACCAGGGTTTGTCTTTGGTTTTCTGCATTAGAACAACATAATAACATTTTGTTGTAGGGGATGGTTTTCATATTTCTACAAAAGCTATAGTTTGCGACAAAACTGAAAAACTTGTTGCAGAATAGCGAAACAAAAACCGCATGTAGGCAATTACATAATACAGTAAAGAAACGATTTTATCAACACGTTCGAAAATCACTCCTAATGTTCTACCAAACCCAAGTTTTTCGCGTTCATTTAAACGGAATTTGATTTCAGATTCGGATTCAGCGTCCCAAAATTAGGTAAAATGAGTAATTTTGCAGAGCACAGCACAAGAAAAAAATACTGACAATGATAGGATTTTGAGGATCAGTTCAGGGCGAATAAAATATGACATCCACAAGTTTTTCGTTTTTTTGAAGTGTATGTCTACATACTTATCAAGACAATAACTCTTTATTTCAGCAACACAGTCATGGTCTACAAGAATAAATAAATGAATAAAATATATATTAACCTTTATGTATATGTAATGTAGACGTCTTTGTCCATACAAAACGTCACGTAAGGCTTTTTTCGTTGTGTTCTTTACCACTTCAACCATTTATTTGATCTATTGGTAAAGCATGGATTCATCAACTTTACTTATTCCTTCTAATCTAGTGCTATGCTACCTTTGACTCTGTTTACATAATATATTCTGTTCTGTTCTGTTCGTATGCGAAGCGAAGTGTTGTTTTTAACAGTATTTTTCGATGATCCATTTCCAAAAATATGCACTTAAAGCGCATATTTATATGATTAATTATATAAACTGTGTATGCACTAGCATAAATTTCTATTTTCGATAGTAATATTGAACACCCAAAACAGGTCTCAATAGTGAGAACTATTGTGCATTTTTTAAATATAATTTTCAAACCCCCCTATTCTGCGATTCACGTGACTCGTGACAATTGTAACCTCACCGTCACGTGACTCGCAGAATAAGATTTTTTTTAAAGTTGAATAAGTGGTTCTTTTACATGCGTACATCACATTTGTGCTGTGATGTCGACACATAATTAGTGTGCTTTCACCATTTGAAAATAATGGTTAAAAAACCATCAAACTGTTAGGGTCCTTGGACCGGTGTACCTTATACAATTTCAGGATATGATACGTACACCAGGTACGAACAGGACACATGACCAAAAGTAAATATGATTAACAGTCATATTACCGAACCTGCAAATTCCGCGGCGATGTTGTGACACAGCTAGAGGTGGTAAATGTACATGTTTACTGCAGAGATGTCCACTAAATTGTACGGGGGAAACTAATGTCAAGACATTTTTCTCCATAACATTTACCACCTGCTGGATACAGCACGCCTGTCCCCTTTGGTATACCATCATCCCTAGAGCACTGGAACTAATATTAGCAGAAGTAACATTTCAACAAGATTGAAAATGTCGAACAATATTGAGTGCGTCGATTTAGGAACCGCTTCGAATATTGGTCGGTCATATACTACGAAAGGGCTGAAACGAAATCTACAAACAAGCACTGGATTGGAACCCGGTGGAAATTACAGCATAGGCAGACCCAGGAGCCTCAACAAGAAAATGAAGCAATTCCATAACATATTTTGGTTCTTCAAACCATACGGGAGCTTCTAAGCAGCTTCAAACCATACGGGAGGAACTTAAGGTTTGTAATATGTATTTGAAGGATCCAAATATTTTGACAGTTCTACTTTACATCCCACAGGATATAACTCTGCGGGTATAATATCTAGTTGCGTCTGTAGACTCCACAGCATCAGAGCTCCAAGATAATTTGGAAAATCTAAGATATTTTTTATATTACCTATATCGTCAAAGAACTACAAATATGTTCAATTTTACGATTACAAAATATTAAATTTTTGGAAGTACCTGCCGGAAAGTGAGACACCAGGTAAAATTGCTCAAAATAATAGCAGTACTAATAATTTTAATTTCACCTGAATTTTTAGATTTTTAATTTTACATTTCCCAAAATTCTAACAATCCCCACCCAATTAACAAATAATGTACATAATAGTCTCTGTCTGGTGTCTCACTTTCCGGTAGGTGCTTTCAAACATTTAATATTTCGTAATCGTAAAATTGAATATATTTGTAGTTCTTTGGCTAACGTTTCAGCTCAATTGATCATAAGTTAACAAAGTTACATCATGTCAAAGGTGACCATTTTGTATGAAAATCGACATGCGCTGCTGTTTTTATCGAACACAGCTGTATGTAGGGGAATTTACGTATTCTCGGCAACCTAAGCAGCGACCTTCTTTCTATAGTCCTTTTCTCTAAGGAACACACACATATGCAGTATTGGTTTGTTTACAATCTTTTGCTGCCAGCTGCTCTAACAATTTCAGTCGAAAGAATTGTCAAAAACTGTTTTGAAACGCTTTTACAAAGCTCCAATCTTCTCTAGTGAGAGCGAGTATTGTCGGCAACCAGTTTTTCTTCGGCAACCGTTCCATTTGAACTGCATGTAAATCTGCTGTTCTATTATCGGCAACTCGAAATCAGCTACAATTTGTAGTGCGTGTGTTTCATTTCAAGAAAACCTTGCTAGATTGCTTTTTTTCAGTGGTAAAAGTATAGTCAAATTGAAGCTGAAAGCATAAAGAATCGTTTACATGCATTCAGCGAAGTGTTTTCGTAAGAAAATCCAGTGAAAATAGTGTTTCAATTTGGGTTGCCGAAAATAGTATGGCATGCCGAAGCCGTCATTTCCCCTATTTTATTATGTGGATAGGTCGAAATTTGCTCCATGGATTCAAATAATAAGTCTATAGATCTTAAAGATCTGAGAATCAGGGTGATTTTGTAGGACTCGAGTTATTTTGTTATTTCATTTATTCCTATCTTATAAGGGTGTTCAAAGAGGTACTTAAGATGCCAACATTTAGCCATTTAGTGCTACATCAAGATCTGAACACCAGGATGATTTGGGGAATCTTAGATATTTTGTTATTTCTCACACGACTCTCTGGAGTCGTACATCTAGTCGGTGCATCGAGAAAAACTTTACTGAGCAGGTAGAACTTCAATATCAATTCTTCAAGATGATTTGAAGATCTTGTTGTGCCTCGTTTATGCTGTTTTTAATTTCATAGTGTATTCGGGCTCTACGAGGGTTTTTGAATACATATCTTTAGAGAACATCTCCTATAGGGCTGTATTAATCCTTTAAAGATAAAGGAAGTAAAAATCAGAATAATTTGGATGTCCTACATCATCCCAAAACATTTTGTTGTCGGTTATTTTTCTGTTGTTATCCTAATATAGCTAAATTCTAACCGAAAGCGTAAAAAGTTCCTTAAAATAATCATTAGAAAAAATTGGGACTGAAACGGTTAAGTAGAATTAAACTGAACTGCATGTAATCGCTATGAGGTAAGCGGTTAAACATCACTGTTTCGCTGATGACATCATCAATGCTAAAATTACTCTCCATCTTAATTTTTGTCTTTTTTCCACACTGAATCATTCCTATCGCATTCACATATTCGTCACGGCAAAGCACACGATTCTGAGAAACATTCCAGAGAAATCAATACTTTCCACAAAGAGACGATGAATTTTCTATTTCGTTACCAGTCTTACCTTTGGCTAGATGCTTTCCGTTGCTCATTTCGATAAGCTTTACTGTTTGACCAGGCACTGCAATTATTATGAAAATGTTGTTAATTTATTGAAAGGTACAATGATTACGACAAGTTTCAATTACCTGACAACGCCAATCGTTGGAGTTCAATCACTCACTGCTTCCAACTCCAGATACTCGTGATGCTATGGTATAAAAGTCAACACGAGTGTTACACGACTGAAGAGTGTATGTTTGTAATTTACTTTCAAACCGGTAGGCGGTAGTTTTGTTGCACAGACAGATAAAGAAAGGCTGGCTTTTCAAACCAAATCGGCACCCAATGAAATGTATACAGGTGAGGCCAAGATAATTTGTCGTCTCTTCTGTTCCTCCGCTATTTAAATGGTTGACTGAGTAAGACGTCAAACTCCGTCATACTTTTAAACATTGGAGGAACAAAAGAGACCACAAATTCTCTGGGCCTAGACTGTTTACACTCATTGATCGGCACCGGCATTTGTACACTGATAAAAATAGTATGGTATCGCGTACCATTGAAATGTGTTTAATTATACTATGACAGCTCATAGTAAAATCAACCGATATTTCTTTCCATTCTATTATGTGTTTAACTTATTTACTATGCTCCCCATAGAATTTCATGTAGTATTATTAATAACATTCTTGGTTAAACAATACTTCAAATTTACCATGTTACCTTGAGAATATGGTAGCAGCAACAGAAATGATGTTTGGTTGGAAAACAAAATGATTACTATTTCACTGCTAACCGTGGTGATCACAGATTATTGCATGATCGCCATTTTGTAAAAACTCATTCGACAAGTGCGCATCAGCGGGTATTTTTTATGTTGCAGATAAAAGTGGCAGCTAAAGTTGAACTATTGAAACATTCCTGGAATCATTGCTGTTGGAGAGGTAAAACTCATTAACGGTAAACAATTTTAATTTAATTAAGGTTTATTTGTGTGGAAGCAGACGAAATACCGGAACAGCAGAATTTTCTCGATCAGGAGCTAGATCCATCTGTTTTTGCCAATTGGTAATCAGTAACAATTATTAAATATACAATTTTTAACATTATATTTTTGACAGGCTTTGAACCATATGGACTAACGGACACAAACATGCACTATGATAAAAGTTTCGTGATCTGACCGACACCGCCTTCCTGCAATCCTGCTAAATCTCTGCCGGGTCTCGGGATCAATCCACCACCATTGCTCAACCAAGACCATTCAGTGTGTGTGTGTGTTGTGCAGAGTATTTCAAAATAAATAAATTATGACTATATTCTAAATTGCTTCTCAGAACAACTTTTTTCTGAGATTTCAATTTAATAGAAATTTTTTATTTGATTGGAATCTACAAAGAGGTCGAAAGTCACAAAGCAATGCAATTTTATTTTCGCAGTAGAAATTACTACATAAATATGGTTAACAATACTATTCTCAATAGTAGTAGAATTAACTGAAATTTCGTTTACTACAACAATAATTTACGTTGTAGTTGATGCAATCACTTTTGTTTTTGTTTATACTAGAAGAATGGTTCACCTTACTACGCCAACGTTTTTGACGCAGCATGGTAACATCAGCAACAGTTGTATTCATTTCAAATACAATATTCGTTCTACCGAAATTTAGTGGTATTTTGTTTTCATTTTTAACCTACGAAATAGTAGTGGTTACCATGGGACTGTTTTCAGTGTAGGCATATAGGATGGCTTTCATAAATAGCGCCATTGATTTATTCAAGCAAATTAATAATCTCAATTTATAATTTTATTAATTTGTTGGGTTTGAATCGTGTATAGAATTCGTTCGATTTTATGTTACGTATTTTACGGACTGATATTATTTTTTGCCTATTCAGCGGCTGTAAACACGACTGCGAGTGTCTGTGCCGCTGCAAAATAATCAACAGTTGCAGAAGGGTGGTTCCAAATTGTATGACTTTTTTATATTATCAGACAAAACCCCAAAGCTGCAAAATGCGTGTCGATGCATGTTGCCATGGCTGGTTATCGGCAATGCGATGATCATTTACCAAAATAACCTGTGGCTATGGAAAAACCCGGAAAAGTCTCGAGTAAAATGCGTGCTGATTCTTGTTGACATGACTGGTTTTCGGCAATTTGGTCCAAATTTTAAGATTGAGCCACGTTTTAAAAGCTTTGGCGGAACAGACAGGGAACCGATTGGACTTGTGGTTGGCCAATCGCATCGGGATAACCCGTGAGAGGTGGCTCTCCGGAAATTCGTATTCACCGGGGAATTGGTCAATTCCTGAATGTAGACCTAGAGATCCACAGAGATGAACTAGCCTACGGCTAAAAATCTCTAAAATAAAGAATTTAAGAAAAAACCTAGAGATCCACGATTTTTTTTCCAAATTGCATACAATCATGAGCATAGAGGAAATATGTTATCACCATATTAATTCTGCTACCGGGTGGTCAGGAAACGGTCAATCATAAGAAATATCACGAAATATGCAATCACCATATCGATTCTGCTACCGGGTGGCCAGGTTCTCTGGATATCCGGAATCGCCGGGAAAATGATGAATTCCTAAAAGTAAACGTAGAGATCCGCGATTTTTTTCTAAATTGCATACGATCATGAACATAGAGGAGATATGCCTTGTTCATATCGATTTTGCTCCCGCTGACGGAGATTTTCAACGTTTTCGACGGGAATAAAAGACTTTCTTGACAGAAATTTGAAACTATACTAGGCTTCATTAGAATGTAAGCCAAGACCCAGAGAAAATCTAGGGTTGGGACAAGATGGATTAACCAAATGCTCATTACAGCTAAAATGCTATTTTTCGGATTTATGAAGCTATGAGATATTTTAATGATAATTATTATTTACAAGATGCAAGAACAGAAGGTAAAGTGTGTATGACACATAAAACATGTCAATTTAGCTTCCAGAGGGTCACAATAGCGATTAGCTGTAACGATGAGCAACGCGATGAGCGAGCAATCAGCGATCATAAAATCGCTAGTTGTGACCTTCTGAAAGCAAAATTGACAAATTTTATATGTCATATACAAACTTTATCACCTCTTCTTGTATCTTACAAATAAAAATTATCATTATAGTATCCCATTGTTTCATAATACCGAAAAATAGCATTTTAGCTGTAATGAGAAATTGCAAGCCTGACCAGGGGAAGGATTAACGGGGACCCTTTCGAACTATTTTTTAACTAAAACATTGCATAATGGCACCAAAGCCGTGGTTAGGAAGACAACAATGTCTGCGCTAAAAGGGGACACCTATTGGTGGATTTCAAAAAAATAATTTTTTTCGCATTTTTGTATGCTTGTAATAAAAGATACTTTTTTTTCGTGTTGTGCAGTGATTTCCTTTATTCTCGTTTCAAAGACTTTCTATGACTTTGTCTCTTGCAAATAGATTTAATTAAACACTTTAAAATCTTAAATGCACCGAAGACGATAAGCAAATACAATGCATAAACATCCAGCAGGTTTGATCGAACTGTTCCTAAATCCAGCGAAGGAGATTTCATGTGAGTCAAATCGGGGTTTCGAATAGCATACTCAATCCACCATATTGCTCGGTCTAGCGGTTTTTCGGGTTGATCGCGGAAGAATTTTGACCTTCGAATCATGTTATCCTTATACTTTGGAGTTTCCAGTACCTTAAGAACTGTGTTGCGAATTTTGTCAACAGATAGAGATTGAAAATCGAGTGCCTCAGCTACCCCTGCACTTACCGATCGGTGGCAATTCTGCAAAAGATTAAAATGGGTGAATTTAGAATGATGAATTGATTTAAATTGAATGATCATAGTATACTCACTCTGATTTGGTCCATGAAAAATGGCATCCCAATGAGTGGAACTCCGAACCAAGATGCTTCTTGCGTGCTCAATCCACCGGAATGTGTTAGAAACGCTCTTATCTTAGGATGGGCAAGTATGCTATTTTGAGGCATCCATCGTTTGATGATCACATTTGGTGGTAAGTCAAGTTGAAGATCAGATTCGAATTTCCATAGGAAATGATACTGTGGCATCTGTCGGAATGCTTCGATAAACATTCTCTGTCGGTGTTCACCGATTTTATCACTTCGAACGTTGGACCCCAAGGAAAAGAGAACGGCTCCCTTCTTGCTACTACTGATGAATCTTTCCAAGTCTTCTGGTAACGGCATGGGTTCTTTGATATGGGCTCCACCAATAGCAATCACGTTAGGAGGGAGGGCCTCCAATGCATCCATGGCAGGGTTGGTGTTGACCAGCATTAGTTGGGTACGCGTTTCCAGATCGCCCAGGTAAGGCATGTCGGTGTACTTGAAGTACGACCGAACAAGTCGGTCTACGTTTGGTACGATGTAGAAATTACGATATCTAAAATAGTGTATACAATTTGAAAAATTACCAAAACTGTCCTATCAACTTCTCGCTAATAGTTAATAAGGCATGTTTCTAACAGTGAAAAACTACAAACACCGTTTCACCGTTATTAGCACCGTTATTAATGCGCTTTAATTTTCACTCCAAATTCACTCCAACTTTTTCAGTTTTAAGTATAATCCGGTAGGAAGCTTAATAAGTATTGAGAATTGCGTTATTTGATTTGTTGGATCGTATCGTTGGAAGGAGGTTCTTAAATTTCCGTGGATTTTACGTAAGTGTCTCTGCTTACGGTTCCGCCCCTCCGTTTTTGGCCCTTCATACAGTGATATTGTGAATTCAGATCGGTAGCTCAAATTGATCTTGCTATTAAGTGGAGCTGCATACAAGACATGATCTTCGAAGGGATGGTGGCTACCTTACATTCATGTTTGAACAACTTCACTAAACTGTATTAATTTTTTGAATAGCCTCCTACAATTTGCAGTCTTCTTCAAACTTATTCAAAATTTTAAGATGGACAACTTTGTAAGTTACCAATATTTTATGTAACTCAGTAAAATTTAAAAGAAGGTGAATTATGGCGTTCATATTGTAGGCCCATTATTGTACTAAACCAGATCAACATATCAAATGTTGACTTTAGTTTTGTCTTAGGTGAAGTCCTATGTTCTATTTTCGACATTTGATTGGCTTAACATTAACTTACTCCGATTTGTCATAATGTGGGACTTAAGGGCCATGCACAATGGATCCGGTTTTGATCTGTTTCGGAAAATTTGATATGGGCTAACTGCCAAATTTGTCGAAACGAATCACAACTGATGATATTTTTTGGCAAAACAGTCTAGATGAACGGTACACAGCAAAAAATAAATTTTAATATTACATCCAAGAGGACGCACTTCAATCATGTCGAAAATCTCATGTAATTTTTATGGCCACAAAAATAAACAAATGCAGTAAAAGTAGAGTAACGTCTGTTTATGCACTGTATTAATGATAATTTTGTCCTTTTTTGTAAGTAGTATTGCACCATATTTTCGATACGATTGAAGTGCATCTATTTTGATGTGATATTAAAATTATTTTTTTGCTGTGTAGTATAATGATGACACTTGCGTCAGTTTATTGAACGGTTTAACAATGTCAATGTCCGCCTAGACCTAGGGGCTGCTAAGGCAGCATTTTTCTGTTGTTTGCTTTTTTTCACCCACACACTTACAACCAACGCAAAACAAACACATGCGGTGTACGAGACAGCTGTAAAATATGCAATACAGCCGCAAAGATCGTATGTATTGATCAAGTTTGTTATGGGCCATAAATTTATAGACCAGTTAAGAGGGTACTGTCAAATTTATGAAATCCCATATTGGAAACTTTCGATGTCAGTCCCGTGGCCTAGATAATTAGAACGTACACGCACACCAAAAATGTATTACATTGAACGTTAGTTGCATTTCCTGTCATCCTCCGCAGCGAATACAGCAGAAAATGATACAAGTTGGCCATGCAGCCGTTGCAATGATTTTATTTAACTATTTTATTTCGTGCTCTGTTTACGCTTTCGACTATACCAGCTCCCGAGATGGTTTTATGACAGGTCGGTAGGAGCTCACGGTCTACCAGTGTTGGTGAGTTCTTTACCGTTAATGTTCACGAAAAGTTCACTATTTTGACATACAGAAATTCAAAAAATTTTATGTGTGAATTTGGACGGTTTTTGACCTGTTTCATATGACCGGAAGATACGCTGGTTACAAATGCCGTGCCAAACTGGTTTCCCGAGCAAAGTCGGTTAACAAAATGAAATCAAATCGATATTAAAGTTTGCAGTTCCTATCAAAATTAAAACTCATTTTGATTTCAATTATCGCGACATAAGTCTGATATCATATTGTGCTTTCATAATGCAGTCAAAACTTTTTAAAAATTTAATTTAAGTTCATCTGTCGTTTATGTCTAATGATTATTGTTTATTTGTTTTGTTTAACACATTTTAGGTCATTCATTACTTGCCCGGGGTGAAATTTGAGCTCAACTTTGTCAGCGTGAGAAGCATGGATACTAACCATTTACGCCATGCCCGTATTCAGTAGGGTGTCCCAAAATTGCACTATGTCTGGAAATCTGGGGCTCACCCTCCAAATGATAGCTAAGGGTGTTACAAACAAACTTTTGTATGGCGGCAACTCTGGGAAATGTTGTTTAGAGGTCGCCCCGACGAGATTTTTTAAAAAAGTCCACTTTTCATAGCTATTATCCAATAAATATTTTTAGTTCTTTAAATTTCAGTGAAATCTCACTCTTTTATATTTTTCGCAGATTCCCAAGGGTCAAAACTACAAGGGGAAAAAAAGCTACGGCATGTTCTGTGTCCAATTTGTTAGTTATAATTTTTCAAATACTCTAGAATGATGTTTTTGTTGTACATTACTGCATTCAATCATCAAAAGATGTGTAGGATGCGGTTGAGTTACTTCTTCAACATAAGCGTGAACCACATCGATGAAGAGCTACGAAACGATACTGTCCGTGCAGAATTCTGGAGCCAGCAAACAAAGTTCCGGTTGAGTTTCCGAAAAGCTTCTCAAGCAGTGTACCATTGATATGCAAGCAGCTTCGGTAGCCACAACTTGAATGCTTTTTCCGATTGCAAGTTGTTGGGTTTCATGCTTGAATCGAAAGTACCTGATGACGGCCAACTCCAACGGCAAGCGTTTTCTGGGCAAATGCTTCCTCGCAATACCGGTGATGAGATCCGACTTGAGCTTGGTTTTTTGGTGACATGATTTTCTTTTTTGGTTCTGCTTGCTACGGCAATCAAATGGAAACTAATAAATTGTGTGATCACTCTCCGCTCATATATCCTCCTATTGAATTCTAGAAACTTCGAAACAAATGTTATCAAGTGATTTGCAACAAAGTAGGTGATTTGTATTTATCGATTTCAATGATAGTTTGATTTGCTGGTGGACATACTGCAAGTATTGAAATTCTGAACTTTTCTTTCCACAGTAAATCATGGGGGGTTAAAGTGTCTTCGGCAAAGTTTTTGCTTATAAAATTTCCCATATTTCTGTTGCATTTGATTGATAATAGCGCTATTTTTGATACCCACTTTTGATGATTGAATGCAGTGATGTACAACAAAAAACATCATCTTAGAGGATTTGAAAAATTGCAACTAAAAAATTGGACACAGAACATGCCGTAACATTTTTTTCTCTTATAGTTTTAACCCTTGGGAATCTGCGAAAAATATAAAAGGATGAGATTTCACTGAAATTTAAAGAACTAAAAATATTTATTGGATAATAGCTATGAAAAATGGACTTTTTTTTTTTAAAAATCTCGTCGGGGCGACCTCTAAACAACATTTCCCAGAGTTGCCGCCATACAAAAGTTTGTTTGTAACACCCTTAGCTATCATTTGGAGGGTAAGCCCCAGATTTCCAGACATAGTGCAATTTTGGGACACCCTAGTATTCAGTTAAACATTATGAATGCAATAGTAATGAAAGTAATCAAATTGATTTCATTGAAAGCAAGATTAGTTTTCCATTTGATTCAACAGTGTAAAAGTTTGCTCTCATTTTTGCTGTGTTAACCGTTAAGTCAACCAAAATGAGAGCAACTGGAGTATTTAAAATAAGTTACATCATAACAGAAATTTTGATTTCAATTTGATCTCCAGCTTTGCTCGGGTTCCTACTCAATTAATCAACCATTGATGTGAATTTCCCTAATAAAAACTTGCCATAACAAAATGGGCATGTTCATTTTAGTAAACAAACTAACAATTCTTCCTTGTGTGTCACTTTTGTATTAGGCGCCTAGACCAGCTCCTATAATTTTACTGAATATTTTGGCTATGTAAGTGTAGACTAGATCAGGCCTGAACACACTCTTTACACCTAAAATAAAACTATGAGATATAATAATAATAATTTGAATATGTACATAAGATCCAAGAAGAAGCGGTAAAAATTGTGTATGACACATAAAACCTGTCAATTTCGCATCCAGAGTGTCACAATTAGCATTTAGCTATAATGAATAGTAATCACTCATGACGATTACTCATTACAGCTAAAATAGCTAATTGTGACCTTCTCAAAGCAAAATTTACTGGTTTTATGTGTCAGACACAAACTTTACCTCCTCTTCTTGCATCTTACATATACAAATTATTATTATAATATCTCATAGTTTCATAATTCACATAATATCTCATAGTTTCATATGTTTCAATCAACAAATTTAAATGCAAGTTCTTGCAATGGACTGCGCTGCATCAAGTTTTACCAGAATGCATATTTTTGTATCAAACCTTCACGAGAAGATTTTCGACGAGATGCAATGCATTTGGAGAAACAAACTTTGTTCGAAAAATAAGTTTACATAAAATTACAAAATCATTTTAAAAACCTTCTGGCGGCCACATTACAGAATCTGTTCATATCGCGAAACATTGCAAATTTTGCATACTTTCCATGAAAATCTGTAATAGAATTATAAATTTCCCGGTTGAGTGTAGTAAGACAATACTAAAACATAAACCCAAATATTATTAAAACTTGACAATGTGGTTAAACAGCTTTCCGATGTATTTTTACATGATTTTCCAGAGAATATTTGAAAATAAGTACTTACGCCGAGCTGAGGAGATTCAATAACGTGTTATATGCTCGCTGGAGAAAGTTCATCTTTGTGTCGTAGCTTAGAGCAAAGTACGGAGTGTACGCAAAATGTTTATGACCACCTACGACGTCTACTGAGTATGGAGGGTTATTGAACGGTGTTAGGGACACCATTGGAGGGTAGTTAAACTTGTGCAGTAACGGTAGCAGGCATGGTCCACAGCCATAGTCATATATGACAAGATCAAATTTAAAAGCGTTGGGATAGGCCATAATCACATCCATTCCTTTAGATTTAAGGACCCCTATAATTATAAACAAATTTGACTAGATTCAGTTCAATCACTACCGAAATCTAGTATATATCCACCATCACAGACGCTGGTATAAAAGTCAAGGAACGAAAACACTGTTTTAAAGGCTGATTCTTTGGACATCTCAACGTAATCTACACCCTGATCTTCCAACAATGCAGGATATACATTTTCCATGAGAATGTAAGTTAGGTTGGGTTTCGATATGTCACTGTCCATTGTGATGGTGGTTAAATTATGTCCTCGGTCTACCAGTTCTTCCATCCAAACGCGATTCCTACAGTAAAGGTTCGTCAGAATCGCTTACAAACGCTTTTATTCAAAATCAATCTTACCAAATATGATGGCTTGGACTAGGAACAGTCATAATGCACAGAATGTTAGCACCGTGAACAGCTGTGATGGTGCTTAGGACCGTAAGGGAAAAGGCAGCAACGACCAGGCTTCGTAGTTCCATCTTCGCTAGCACCGATATACAACCTTGACTTCTGATTAAGGCAGACAGCTCTTTTCACGACAATCAGTTGAAGCTGACTGCTTCATACTCAATGGCGATGCGTATATGATGAGCTCTCTTTCAGTATGCTTTTCTCTAGGCAAACACAATACACAAAATAGGTGAAATCGGGGTTTGTTTCGGATATTTGGCCTGTAATCGAATAATTCCTTAAACTTGGATTGAGTTTGTAGATTTTTTATTAGAAAATTTCAAGTAGAATGTCATGGAAGTAATTACTTTCATAATTAGAACCAAGCTCTCACTTGGCGGCAATAACAGCGCACGTGACGATAATACTGTTTCTATCTGTCGTATTCTATAAGTTGTATGTTGTGTACATTGCTCTATGATGCACTCATCAAAGCGTTACGAGAAAACTAACATGCGGTGATTAAAATGTGCCTATCATTCAAACAATTACTACAGTCATCGTTGAATACACGATGCATGTAGGTTGTACACACCTAAACAAACGGATGATTTCTAGTACTTTGCCTACACGTGACTTCAATCTGAGCTGATTAGTTCCCGGTATCACCTATTGATTATATCATCAAATCGTTCACATGTATTTCATTATACGTTGGATTGCAAATTGCTGGATACTAAACTACCACAAATTTTATTATGAATGGGCTGCAATTCAGCTCCGCTTCTTATCGTTATCTTTTGAGCCTTTGGTATATTTGAATACCTCCTTCGTTAGCAGTGATTTGGTGTACATTGCCGTTAGAAACATAGCAATAAATATGATCAGTTTGACATCGTAGAGTTCACTTGACCAAAGACTCATCCATTTGGATGGTGATTGGATGCGTTCGCAGTTCGGATGACGAAGGGCCCACTCAATCCACCAGATGGCACGTTGTAGAGGATGTTCCGGTTGATCTCGGAACAGCGATGATCGTTTTTTCATGTTCTCTCTATATGTTGGATTTTCCAGGACGTCCTGTAGCGCCTTTCGAACCTTATCGGATGTTAGTGCGTTATGTTCTAACTTAACAGCTACACCTGCCTGCATGGATTTGTGCAGATTCTGCAATTGAGAGTTAAATAAATAATAAATTGTGCTATATTCAACTGCATGGACTTACCCGATACTGATCGCATATGAATGGAATTCCTATCATTGGAACTCCATGCCACGAGGCTTCGTGCGTACTAAGCATCCCGCCATGCGTGATGAATGCTTTTACATTGCGATGAGCTAGAACGTCATTCTGTGGCAGAAACTTCTTAATCAGAACGTTTTTAGGTAAATCAAATTTCAAGTTGGTTTCAAATTTCCACAGGAAGTTATAGTCAGTGAACTGCCCAAACACGTCCAGAAACATTTGAATTCTGTCATCACCGAGGTCACTGCTCATAACGTTCGTTCCCAGGGAGAACAGCACAGAGCCTTTCTTACCAGCTTCGATGAACGATTTGACATCATCGGGAAGTGCTTTCGGTGGGATGACCTGAAGACCACCCACTGGAATGTGGTTTGGCGGAACGGATTCAGGAAAATCAACGGAGAAATGATGATTAACTAGCAGTAGAAAAACTTGTTTCTCCAGATCAGAAGGTTTTGGAATGTTGGCGTGTTTGTGGTACTGTCGCATCATTTTTTCTATCGATGGAAGGAATGTATGGTGGCGATAGCTGAAAACGGAAATTCCTGTTATGAACATATGTTTTATTTTGGAATTGATATAATTTATATTGTCAATAACCTCCTTTAGTCATATGTTTATAGTAGTCAATTAATTTGTGTACCAACCTAATTTTGAACACAGCCAAAAGAAGGAGCATATAAATTTCATCGAAGATACCAAACGTCTTAAACTTAAGACAAAAGTACTAGGAATTTTGTCTTCCTAAATTTTCATCCTTGACCATAGCTAAATGGTGGTACAGTAAGTGGGGGTGACAATGTTTTTTTTTTTTTAAATTATAAGGTTCCGATCTTTTAGAATTCAATAAAAAGTACTTACTATTCATCGTACAGGTACACAATGTAGTTGTACATCCGCTGGAAAAAGTTCATATCATAGTCGTAGTTCAGCATAACATAGGGAACATAAGCGTAATGTTTATGCCCACCGATGAAATCTGTAGTATACGATGGATTATTGTACGCAGTGACCCCGACAACTGGGGGGTTTCCAAATTTTTGCAACAGTCCGAAAAGACAGGGACCCAACGTAACATCCGCAACCACTAGGTCAACTTTGAAATCATCTGGATAGCCCATGATGGTATTCATTCCTTCAGAACTGAGAACTCCTTTGCACATGCCAATTCCCCAGGCGTATAGACTGCGGACACCTCCAAAAGCGTTTTCATTTGCCATTTCATTCAAATCCAATGCTTCCGCCAGGAATGAATAGGCTTTTTCCAAGTGAATGTACGTCATATTTCCTTTGCTATGCTTTTCGACGTCCGCTGAAACGATGGTCAGATTGTGGTCTCTCGATGCCAGAGCTTCCATCCATGCTCGATTCCTGAGATGTGAAGTAAAATATTACACAAAATCCATGATGACTGTTTTAAGTGGAACAAATCAAATTCCACCCACCATATGTGATGACTATGACTTGGGATAGGGGTCAAACACAATATATTGGAACTGTACACTACCAATACTGGAATTTGAAGCAAAGTCAGCACTAATAGCACGTTGCTGTTCATGATAACTGTTACGACTAACTGAAACATCAATGACTAAAGTATCTTGATTTTGTTTCTCTGAGGATAGGGTCTAGTCGTTACAGGCCTGTAATGAACATCATTAATTCTATAGATACTAAAGAACACGCAAATCTGCTTTCATGGAGCAAATGCAAGTTAGTTTATAAATCAGCGTTTCTCTGCACATACGCTAATGTCACATTTCAAGCGTCACGTTCGCTTCGATGCTGCAGCTGTGTTTTAGACTGCAAATCGTTCACTTTTATCTTTCCCCGCAGATTAATAAAATCAAATTAGATTTAAACCATACAAAACCCTATGAGATTTCAATGGTATAACTGATGGAAAACAGTACTTTATTTATTTCTTTATTTATTGGTCGTCAATCAAGGGTAGACCGTTTTGAAACACTGATAATTACATATTATGTCTTACTTCAACAACATTAAATCCAAACACTAGACTAAACAGCATATTGTTTGCATTGTATTAATTTTCCGTGTTCATAATTAAGGAATAAAATTGAAGTATTGCTTCAATATGGCTTTTGTCATTGCATTATGCCGCATTGTTATAAAAATATTTCGATTTCGTAGTTGCCGGAAGGGTATGTAAAAATTAAATTTTGATAAAAGTGTTATTGAATCAATGCGATGCGAAGCGATATCGTTTACAAATGAGACCATTGAAAATTAGCGGCGCTCTATTAATGTTTGGATGCTGATGAGCATGCAGCGGGTTTTATATGATGGAAGAGGATATCTTGTCCAGCCTAATTTTCGAATTGGAAACAATCAAATTGCTTTTGTATTCGTTCTTCGTGCGTGACTAAAAAAGGTGACCAAACTACGCTACAATATTCCAGTATTGAACTTCCATAAGCAATGTATAATGATTTTATTGTGTACGGGTCCTGAAAATTTTGACTAAAACGTTTTATAAACCCAAGAATATTATTTGCTTTGTTGATGATCGTGCCACAGACAAACATCGTCGCTAAAACATTACCGCCATCTGTTGAGTACACTGTGGTGGGACAGACGGCGGTAGTATGTAAACGTCAAACGCAAGGGAATTGACTATGCACGCCACAGGTAGCAGTACTTCCAACTGAGATACTATTAGATTGACCGTTAAATGCTTGATCTATGAACAACTTGTGAGTGTTATGTCTGTTTGTCTGTGATCGTACTATAATGGTCAATGAATGTTAGTTTTGAAACTAAGATAACTCCTAAATCCCTAATTCTTTCACACTTTTCTACTGGCTGATTTCTTAGAACGATTGTTATGTCTGATGTGTTTCATTTCCTGATAAAAACTATTGAATTACATTTGTGTACATTCAGTAGTAAAAGGCTTTTGTTACATCTACCATAGAAAATGGTTCAATTCTGGTAGCTACAATGAAAACGACATAAGATGACCTTTTTTAGGACAATCACAGGTAATGGCACTGCGTGTGTGTTTGTGTATTCAATCTAACCCCCTGGCCGGCACTGGTATTATGGAAGAAAGGTATCTGACATTTCTCGTTTGCGGTTGTAGGATAACGACTCTACCCACTGAAATTATTTTCCAGAAGAGGTGCTAAGTGCAAAGGAGGTAAAACATCGAGTTTGTGCTATCCATCATTAGGAGACAGCACATTCGTTTGTATTCATTTCAATCATGCGCATCACTTATGGATGCTTCTTACTTTCCGATGTCACGGAAGAATGATAGCAAATATCGATGAAAATATGGACCAGTTAGGTCTGTGCCACAAATGGGAAATGTCGATGTAAATATATGGAAATGTATAGCGGCGCTGGTGGTGTAGTAGTAAGCGTGATTGCCTCTCACCCCAAAAGGCCTGGGTTCAATCCCAGTCGGCGCCGCCGGGATTTTCTGAAGCATAAAATCTCTGATCACGCCTTCCTACGGGAAGGAAGTAAAGCCGTTGGTCCCCGCTTCATGAGTTGATGGGTCGATAGGTAGGGTCCAGGTGTGGGAGCTGTCTTCCTGGCGTCGGGCTATTGGTACTCAGTACGAAAAACAAGATCGACGGAAAACAAACCAAGGAAAAATGTTGCAATGTATACTAAAAAGTAATTAACAGAAAATGTGTAGCATGTATTCTAGTCTGAATGCGTCTTTTTGCCCCAAGCATTTGATTTCACTACCACTGAAAAAGGGTTATCTGTTGCTATATAATACTTTGAATCATGTCTTAGCAGCCCATTTCTGGAACGGCGAACCTCGTTGGATAAACTACTCCTCGTGCTGATTTTTTTTAATCTTGTTGCATAAATAGCTATGCATAAATAGCTACTTTAAACCAGGCACGTAGGTATTTAGTTCAAAATTAGAAATTAGCATCTGTTAAAATTAATATTCACTATTAAAATTAATATTTAATTGGACACCAATAAACCAAAGGGCAGGGACATTCACAGGTAATTGTCGTGTACACCTAAAACAAGCGAGAATTGTATTATTGTACATTTTTTACCAAACTGTACAAATAAAACCTGAATTAATCCACTTATGGTGATATCTGACCCTTCTGACTAATAGCAATTTAAACAAAAATACTTATATGATGAGAGGTGATAGATGAATTTGAGGTTTCGTCACTTCCTCGGGGCTCCCGAAACATGTCCGGGTGTGGCCATTGTGGTTCTGAGCACTCCAAATGATAACCATTGAACTGTTGTTGTGTTGAATCATACTAACTCTAAGACCAGAAGGTCGTGAAAAAACGTGCTCAACTTTTTGGCTCAGCTCTGGTACTCTCTTCAGTCCCAAGCTAAACATAGGCAAATCCACGAACCCCTCATTTTATCTGTCAAACTTTCATAGCGAATCAAAACAAACATAGTGTAGTACTGGAATTTCTACTAGAATGGGGTACGTTAATCGATTTGCTTGGGACCAATAGGCTAGTCAAGTAGTGAGCCAATTTAAAATCGTTAGTTGCCACCGGTTGGTTGAATTCTCTTGTGATTTGAGGTATTGCATGATGGATTTTTACCACAGTCAGAAACTGGCCACTTCCTGAGAGGTACCGGAACACGACCGAATGTGGCTAGTGTGGCCCAGGTTATTTCAAATGACTACCGTTGAAATGTTTTTATTTAATTTTCATGTTATTTTATGTGTCACATGAAGGGGTTTCATTCGTTTCAGGTTGGATGTAGCTTCGGATCGAATGGAACCAATTTTAAGCTGTCAAATCGATCCAATTTTCACTTTTTTTTGTATCGTGAAACGAATACAAAGATTGCTGTCCATGAATATATACATATATAAAAAAACAAGTTCACCATAGGCCTTTTTAATGCACTACAAACGTAGAGTGCGCCCTGCGATTTCGCATGGAAACGTCAACCAAACCGTTTGTTTAAATCAGAATAAGAATTTTTCACCAAACAAATTAAAGCATTTTTCTTTTAACATCTTACCAATTTCCATCGGTAATTGTCTTATTGTATGATTTTCCACTGATCTGAACTAATTTACACTCAAACTATGTACACACAAGAAAACCGGAAGATCATAACCACTAAGGCACTATTCTAATTTTCATTTATTCTCAACAAAAAATATTCTTGAACACCAGCAGGATCCTTGTAAAACCGATACAGAATGGAATTTTTCAAATGTAGATCAAGTTTTGGAGCATCTCTGATTAATCAATTTATAAGGAATGGTGAAAAAGTGTTCCGCTTCCTATGTGTCACGGTAGGAACTTCTGCTCACAACGGCTTTACTTCCATTCCGAAGGAAGGCGTGATCAGAGATGTTATGCCTCAGAACATCCCGGCGGCGCCGACTGGGATTGAGCAGAGGCCTGCTGGGGTGAGAGATAATCACGCTTACCTCTACACCACCGGCGCCGCTAGTTACAAATATTTTTTATGCGACCATTCAAAATTGTATTATATGCGACCATTCAAAATTGGTTCGAATTTCATGCAAAGACATGTACTTGTACGTATGTAATGCATTTTCTTATAACTGTGTGGTGGGGCGTTCTTCGTCAGAAATAATAAAAATAATCATTTAAAAAAAAACAACGTGTTCTTATTTTCGGGTTAATTTTCCAGCAGTTGAATAATCTTTTAATTAATGCAGCATAGTAATCTAATTAAACGTTATTTCACATGAGAATCAAGCGTATAACAGCATCGCAGTTTAAGGAAGCAATGATGTCTAATAAAAACGCGGAATAATCAACAATTTGCACTGAATATATTTTTCGTTAAATCTGTTACGCTCATATCGTAAAATTAAGTTTAGTAGATTTAAAAATGTTATCGTAATTTATGCAAAACATTCGTATCGCATGTTGTAAGGTACAATGCGAACATTACGCATAATTCGTAAAATATATGATCTTAGTTTCATACGGTCCTGAAAACTGCCTTAGAATATAATATGAAAATGCATTCGTAAAATGCAACAATATACGCATCTCAGAAGATTTGAGGCTAAGTCGAAGAACAAACTATTTTCGCATCTACATCAGCTCCATCTTTTTGTATTGTTTATCTTCATCACACGATTTCTAACAACACCCATCACATTGTTTTCATTGACTATACGAAAAAAAAATCTACTAAATAAATTCTTGAAACCACGAATGGACGATTATTTTTTCGTGAATTCTACGATAGCCAAAAGAAAATTTAATTTTATAACGAAATGTTTTCGCATTGTTCTAATGGATATACGAATGTTTCGTATTATTTTAAATTTAAATGAATAATTCGTAAGCATGCAGTTTCTTCAATATGCGATTGTTTGTTGGGATGTTTCATAGCATGAACAGATTTTCTATGGTAGCCGTCCGAAGACGTTTAAAATAATTTAATAATTTTGTAATTTTATGCAAGCTAGATTTTCAAATAAAAGTGAATTAGCAAATCCCCACCCCCACCCCCACCCCATAGGATAATTTGTTGTCATTGTAATACTGATAACTGACACAACTGCCACTGTCTCTCTGTTTCCACCCCGATAGCATAGAAAGATCACGTTTGTTTCACAGTTAATGGCAAAGTAAATATTTGATAACCAAATTATCAAATTTTCATCCATGCTGATGACGAAGATCACTTTAAGTTGTTTCTAAATCTTTCCAGTCGTTCATTATCTCATGACAATCATAATCTAATGCAATCATCTTATATCACGTGCTGGGTTGTTATTTCAACGCAAATAACTAGCATTCGCAGTGTCAATAGAGAGATAGTGAGAGCGGTTTGAAAAATGCAATTCATTCGTAATTCAGTGGCAAAATGGATCGGATCGTAAAATGTGTCGTGTTCGTTTGCTTGATTGGGATACCATGTTCCAGCGGGATAAACATTCTTTGTTTGATGGGAGTGCCTAGTCCAAGCCATCATATTTGGAATCGCGTGCTGATGGAAGCATTAGCTGCTAAAGGCTACAACTTGACGATCGTGTCACCTGATGTGGAGAAAGTGCAGAAACCGAATTTAACGTATATCCATCTGGAAGAAACCTACCATGCAATACATGATGGTGATACAGCGATTGATTTCTATGAAATGGCCCAGGAGAATTTGGTGAAAAGTATGATCACGTTCTACGATTACGCCTTTTCCCTTTGCGAAGGAGTGATGAGATCGAAAGGATTAAAAGTCATTTTAGACTACCCGGATGATTTTAAATTTGATTTGGTTCTGTACGATTTCACATGTGGACCTTGTCTAATGGGATTGTATCAAAAATTTGGCCAACAACCACTTGTTGGCGTTACAGCTTTCAATATACCTCCTTATACGGTGGATTTCATCGGTGGTCACAAGTACCCAGCTTACATCCCTTATTACACATTAACATACGATACGGATATGCACTTTTTCCAACGATTGGAGAATACATTCATCTATGCAATGGATTATTTGTAAGTTCATCATATTATTGCAACAATATGGATCATTATAATTTCTTTCTTTCAGTTATCGTAATTATTATTACGTTCCAAAGACCGACGAGATGATTCGACGCATTGCAGCTTTCAAAAACGTCCCATATCTGGGGGATTTAGATAGAAAAATGATACTAATGCTAGTGAATTCTCATCACGCAGTGGATTTTCCTGAACCTATTCCGCAAAACATGATCCAAGTTGGTGGACTACAAATTCTACCTTCCAAGCCACTACCATCAGACATCGATGTGTTTATTAAATCCGCAAAAAAAGGAGCTATTCTCTTCTCGCTGGGAACTAACGTGATGAGCTCGGATCTTGGAGAAGAACGCATCCAAATGTTTTTGGAAGCCATCAGGAAATTTCCTGATTATAATTTCCTATGGAAATTTGAAGCTGATCCCAAGCGGTACAGCATTCCTAATAACCTGATAATGCGCAATTTTTTACCACAAAGTGACATTTTGGCACATCCGCGCACTAAACTGTTCATCACGCATGCTGGATTGCTAAGCACACACGAGTCCACATGGCATGGTGTGCCGATGGTTGGAATTCCATTCATAGCTGATCAATATCGAGTAAGTATTAGGAATTCGGTTATTCAACGGTTTTTCCTCATACTCGTAACGCCTAGGCGTTAAAATGAGAACTTGATAAACAGATCAGGTCGATCAACTGAGAAAGTGTGTGCGTGTGTACGTATATTGTGTTTTTTATCCTTATCTGAGATTTGGCTTCGGATATGTTACCAACAAAATTCAATGTATTTCTGCTTTCCTATATATGTATATATATTCGTTGATTGCAGAACCTCGAGAAATCATTACGCGCAGGTGTGGCTGAACGCTTGGATGTTTGGACCTTGACGACGGATCAAATAGTACGCACCGTCCGGAAGGTTTTGGATGATCCTTCATATCGAATCAGAATGCAGGATAAATCTGCACTTTTCAGAGATCAACCGGACAAACCACTGGATCGCGCTTTGTGGTGGATCGAATGGTGCCTACGTCATCCAAAAGCAGAAACGATACAATCGCCTACGCTTCGGCTAGGGGTTTGGAAAAGTGAGCTTTACGATGTGAAAATGTTCTTGATCGTAGTTGCTGTTGCAATATTCGTTTTTGTTAAACGTATTTTCTACATTCTCTCAAGTGTCAGTAGTAACAAGACCAAAATCAAGAAAAAAGTAAATTGAGATTTAACGGGGAGAGCAAATCGTGAAATCGGTGACATCGTTTATCTCATAAGTACGTGACAATATAATTAATCTTGATTTCGGATGTAATCAATATGTTGAAATCAGTTGACTAGGTTAATAAATGTTGAAGAATATTGTTTTGTTTTTCGTTCTTGAATGGTATGGGTTTTCGTCGATCTTGATTTCCGTGCTGAACGCCAATGCTACCGACGCCAGGGAGGCAGCTCCCACACCTGAACTATCGATACATCAACTCATGAACCGGGGACTAACGGCTTAACTTCCCATCCGAAGGAAGGCGTGATCAGAGATGTTATTTCTCAGAACATCTTGGCGGCGCTGACTGGGATTGAACCTAGGCCTGCTGGGGTGAGAGGTAATAACGGCGCCGCTTTAAGGGGTGGTTCTCATGCCAAATTTTCAAAAAATCGATTTTTTTGTTATTGCATTTTTTTAAAGGTATAAGTGTCTACTACATATATTGTGTTGAAGTGGGTTTTTAGATTTGCGCACAAAAATAGTTTCTACAAGCCATTGTTCGAAGTGGCGTCCCGGTAGAAACCTTTTCACCGCATTATGTACGTTCCCAGAATGCCTAGCGTCATAACATAACGACCGGCACTATCAACGGCCAAATATATAAAGAAAAATGCCTCCAGAAGCGCCTGCTGCCCTTCCTCCGGTCCCACGAAGATGACATCCTCTTTTGACCGGATCTGGCATTGTGCCATTACGCGAAACCGGTGATGGAGTGGTACGAAGCCAACGATGTTGTTTTTGTGCCGAAGGAGGCAAATCCACCAAACTTGCCAGAGCTTCGCCCAATAGAAAAATTCTGGGCGATTATGAAGGGCAAGCTCCGGAAAACAAGGAAGGTCTTCAAAAACGACAAGGATTTGAAGAAAGAGTGGATGAAAGTGTGCAAGAAAGATGGCGAAAGTGTTGCACAGCATTTGACGGGTAGCGTTAAGTCCAAGGTGCTGACATTTAGCCTAGGAGAGGAGGTTGAATAAACCAACTTTGCTAAAACATAGCTAATATGTGTTTATTTATTTTCTGAGAGTTTCAACAACATCCGACTTAAAATGATTTTTTGGTGATAATTTTTGTCTGTTGCAGGCCTACGAGCTAAGGTGGATTAATTTTTTGCCACATGCGAGTGTGCTTATGACGTTGCTGTCTATCGCACTGGTCGTATAAATGGCCCTAAAAGCGTGAAGACACATGGAAGTGGTGCCTTGATTGCTGTTTCTACACTTTGGAATAGCTATATCAATCCTAGTGATAGTTTGGAACAAATGTGGGTTCGAATTACTACGCCAAGTCGAGTTATCATCGCGGGAGTGATATACCTTCCACCAGACCAGCGTTACGATATCGCCAGCAAAAAGAACCATGTGAACTCCATTGGTGCTATTATCACAAAATCAGCTGGTTGGGTTGACGACGCCGTTCATTGCTTCAACCCAATGAGTTGCTATATTATAACTGAGTTTGTTCCTCATTCTCATTCTCTTCAAAGTCACCATTGTCACCTGTGTCACTGAAACGGCAAAGGGCCAAAGCACTACAGAGATATGGCAAAATCGTTCATACGTCCCAAAGCAAGAGTTAAACCGTACCAGTAATGACTATAGAAAATACAACCGGTTTCTGTATCACCGATATTTGTTCTGTACACAGGAATCCCTTCGTCGAAATCAGATGCGTTTCTGGTAATTTGTCAACTCATAAAAGAAGGAAATCCCAGTCGGCGCCGCTGGGATGTTCTGAGGCATAACATCTCTGATCACACCTTTCTTCGGAAGGCAAGTAAAGCCGTTGGTCCCCGGTTCATGAGTTGATGGGTCGATATGTAGGGTCCAGGTGTGGGAGCTGTCTCCCTGGCGTTAGCACGGAAAACAAGATCAACGGAAAACAAATCAAGGAAAAAAAAAACTATTGTTGTTTAAGAGTAAATTTTCATTGAACGTTCGCTCACCTTACTGCTAGGCACATCACCCCCAAAGCTCATTGATAATGTACAAAACAACTAATCGTTTGTGGATAAATGCATAACAGTATTGCAGTGGTACATACAAATTCTCACAATGACCGAATACCACATGACCTTGTTAATTAACCTCAAAAACTTCGAACTAAGGTAATGTTTTCTCCAGGACGCTAGAAAAAAGCAAAACAAATCTAGAATTCATATGATTTATCGCGAATATCTCGCGATTGAAAAATTTTAGCAAGAAATTTCTGCCAAATTATTCTATTGAATAAACCAAAAATTCCGTGCGTTTTATGCACGAAAATGTGTAATTTTGTCATAAAAAACGTGGCGTTTCCGTGATGGGAAAAAGTGGTCTCTCTAACACAGTCGCCGAATATTGATACCGAGCACGAGCTAGGTGAAATCTACGGTCGTGTCTTGAATACAACCTTTAACTTTTTTCAAAGGACCACTGCTTCTTATAATTCTAGGATAATGTAACAAATAATGTTGTTTTGGCTTTAAATGCTGCTCGACAAGTGTTGGGTATAACATATGGTGCTCAGTAATTACACCATTTAAAAAATTCAAGTCCAGGTTCGAAAAAGAGGGAAAATTTAGTAAATCAATCAGTTTTACCAAAGTTATGGCGAATTTCCAAACCGGGCCATTTTAACAATTCAATTTACATACCTGATTATCATATTATATGCTATATTTTCGACTCGACACTCCAAAAGACATAAGTTTGTTATCACGTCCTGACTTCGTTTTTAGTTAATTTCCTTTGTCTGCCACCCCAGTAGGTCCGATGAAGTGAATACTTCAGATAATGCAATGTGTCCTACGTGTTAATCCAGTTCTGATGATTGTTGCTATGTATAAATAAAAAAAAACGAGGATTAATCACTTTTTGTTATGGTTATTTATAAATTAACTAAAAAATATTCTATCTCATGCCATCATGGAGTAGTCGATACAAATTTAGTGTTATACTTGATTGTCGTAATCAAATTGTTGGTTCGGTATCAATTGAAGAGACCCTAGGAGTTAAATATCATGCTCTGTATTCGTTTTCAATTCAGCTCCGTTTCTTGCTGAAGCCGCTTCGTATCTTTCAGTAGCTCACGGTGGTAGTGTGAATACTGCAGATGCACTCTGTCCTTCGAGATCCTCTTGTTGCTACACCCAACCGGTGGATGTAAGATTCGCTTACAATTATGTGGGATTCATCATCAGAGGATGTAAGTGGAGACCGCATGAACCGAGGATGCGATATACCTAGCTGCGGTCCGATGTAAGAAAATTGGAGACCGAAAAGTGTGGAGTGTATTAGTGAGTGAAATTAATTATGTCGAAAAAAATAGAAAAAAGGTTGCCGACTGGACTCGAACCACTGCTCTCTCTATGCTTCTGATTATGGACAGCCTAAAAGCAAACATGAAGCGCTCATTTTCTCGCATGCTCGACTTCGTATGTTTTTTTCTGCAGGAGAGATTCGAGATAAGTGTGTGTGTCGTTCTACAATGTTCTACAATGTGCGTCGTTCTACAAGCTTACTGGTATAGTCGAAAGCGTAGATGCAACACGAAATAAAAATGCTCTACTTTTTCTGCTGGAGAGATTCGAGACAAGTGTGTGCGTCGTTCTACAATGTTCTACAATGTGCGTCGTTCTACAAGCTTACTGGTATAGTCGAAAGCGTAGATGGAACACGAAATAAAAAAAGACAAAAAACCATTACATCGCCTGCATGGTCAATTTCTAACATTCGTTGCGATGTTCATGCACAGAGGATGATAGGAAACGGAACTAACATTCATTGTAATAGATTTTTGGTTTGCGTGTAGTAGTCACATAGTCACTATGAACGGAGTTCCAATTTCCTGGTCAAACCAAGTGAAATATCTTGGGCTAGTACTTGACCAAAAAGTAACTTTTAAAGATCGCATTGAGGGCGTTCATGTCAAATGTAACAAATATATAAAATGTTTGTATCCTCTTAAACAGGAAATCCAAACTTTGCCTGACGAATAAACTTATAATATTTAAACAAATTTATAGACGCTTTACAATTTCACCAATTGTGTAAATAAAATTTCTCTCAAATTGCATTTTCTGGCATCCAAAATTGCCGTTGTTTGATCAATCATGAAATGAAGTACTAAAGGGTGGAACGGTCAAAAATTGATCAAATATAATTAACTGATTATGTTAATCTATAAATGATCAAACTTTATTTATTTTGAAGTAGCCGTTGATACAAAATACAGGAATATTATTGTATTAGGCTTCCGACTTTCCAAATGCGAATTGCCGAGATGAACGTTTCACACCATCCATCAGATTTTGTACCGCTGTTGTACCGTTGTTGACGGTATACCATTCCTGAGCCATTTTCTCGTAGTGACAGAAAGCGAGATCTGGCCAAAACAGTACGGAATAACTGTGTTTCTTCAAAAAAGGTAACAGGCGTTTTTGCAAACATTCCTTTACAAAAATATCTATCAGTGCCAGTGGTCACAAAATTCCGCATTTTAGCCCACATGTACGAATCGCCTGCCAAACCAGGTATTTTTTTTCAGGACAATTGACAACCTTTTCTGCTTAAATTTATTTTCAACCTGTGCTTTCCGGTAGCCATGTAAAACCCTTGTACAACTTACGTGCTTTTGCTTTGGTCGTGGTTTTTTGCCTATCATCTCGATTGGGTGTCACTGTAACCTTGTTTGTTAACAGTCCGGCTCGTTTTTCGTTTCCTCCTGGTTCTGGTTTTCTAGTAGTCGTCAGACGTTCGTCGTATTTTTAAATACCTTTCATTTGATATTTTGATCTTTGAAATTGGCTCAGTGGTTCAAAAGTTATGAATTTTTGAATAAAGACATTAACAAAAAAAAAAATCGATTTTTTGGACCCCCCTGACATGGAAGACAAAAAAATGCGGGTCTAATATTTTGCGATAAGGAACAAATGTTCCAATTTTTACAAAATGCTGAGAACCACTGTATTGTTTCGCTACACGGGAAAAAATCCGATTCCATTTTCATGAATAAAAAATCATGAAATGAAAAAACTTGCCATCCCATGAAATCATAACAATGATTCATGATTTCGGAATGGAAATTCATGATTTTATAATACAGCGGAATCATGATTCATGACCGCTACAAGCGTTACCTGGCAAACCGTGTTCACCGCACTACATGAGTATCTCTTATACACATTTTGCCTTCCATCATATTTTTTATTTTATTTTATTTTCGTCCACTATATACTTACAAGTACTGATAGTCTAGTGGTCAAAGTATAGATTTAATAATCGTAAGGTTCTTAGTTTGAATCCAGTCTTAATTTAATTTAGGTTAATTTATTTTTTTACATTTTTGCTTTAAAAGCTAATAGTTAAATTTATGAATTTAGTTCCTGATTTTAACTCGATGATTTATGATTTCGGGAATCTTGATGCTACAGCTTAAGCTGTAGAAAAAGTTTTGGTTCGTCTTGTGTTGTGCAAAACAGCTTGAAAAATACACAACCATTTAGGCTTTTTGAAAAATCTTCAACCTCAAGTAAGAATGCATGCTGTGACAAGCATGTGTCGTTTTTGTTGAACCTTTTTATCTCTGGGCTAGCAATTGTAATAGAAACAGAAAGAAATATGCTGGAAACTCACGGTGGGTCTGCTTGAACAATGTTTCGATTAAAAATTACGAACCGTGAATCATTAAAATATATGCTTTTACCTTACATCAATCTGAAATGATTCTTCGGGAGTTTCAAAAAGTCATTCTTATTTTTCGTAAAACAGGGGAACCTGCATTAAGTACGTCACGCAAGATTTATTGAAAATCAACTAATCTCCCTTGTGGGAGGGGTTTCGAAAGGGGGCTTCGTCACGTTTTTTATACCAAAATATCGATTTCAGAACCACGCGCGATATGTTACAGTGCATTCGTTCGCATGATGAAGCTTTTGTCGATGTCTATTTTTAAATAATAAAACTATTCTTGAGAGACACGCCGTGAAATATTGGTGACCCTTTGTCGAACTAGGTATACCGATCGAGCAGCATGGTGGAAACAGTAAGTAATTGTAACTCCCTTTTGGATGTGGTACGTGACGAGTCTTTCATTTGCATTTTTCGGGGTTTATTCTCGCTCTACCTCGGAGTCAGAGTCATTTATTGTTCCGCAGTGGAAGTGTAAACGTATTTCCTTCAAATGATGAAGATTTGTTTGCTTGTTTGGATTTTGATTTTAGATTTTGGTTTTGATAGTGTGACTTGTGATAACATACTAGTGTTGATGGGTGTACCATCTCCAAGCCACTTTATTTGGTAACGAATCAGTTGTCGATTAGGTATATAATCACATATTCATAGTCATTGTCGATTCCGTAGGATTCACCCGGTGATAAACAAACTGGCTGCAAATGGTCATAATGTGACGGTACTTTCTGTAAACGTAGATCCTAATCCACCCCAGAACACTACGTATATTCATTTGGAGAACACATATAACGTGCTGTACGGAAATGGAACCGCTACGAACAATATCATGGAAAGATCGGAAGATAATCCTTTTGAAGCTGTGATGTCTGCGTACAAGTTTGGGATCCTCGGATGCATTGGTATGTATGTAAATGGGAATGATGTAGTTTTAAACATGATAGCTTGCAGTCGTATTTGGCTCAACAGCGAGTACGGTTTTAATCAAACTAAATAGCTTGTTCTTCACGAAACGTTAACTTGTGGGCACTGCTAAAAAAATTCAAAATCCATAACTCAATTTTAATAGAATTAGAATACCTTGATCCCATTTTTTTATTATTTATTTAATGAAACTACTGAATATTCAATTCATTACATTGTATAATTTTGAAATGGTGCCAAGAACAATACTAACAACATAGTGGGATATTTTATTTAAAATATCAAAAAAATTGTTATGTTTTAGAATTTAGTGGGAAAGTTTCCGAATCATAAGGGCACAACTACATCGATCATCGCAGTTAGGCTCTTATGATTCTTAACAGTATGATATGAGTTTTTTTTATGAAATTTTATCCTAATTACACATTTTGAATTGACCCATGATTTTGTAGATGCGGTGATTTTCAATTACCCCTCCCAAAACTCTGAAATTTTGGCACCACCGAGCAGCTTGGCTATAAGTTTTACGAAGATCTCAGCAAAAAAAAATAGACTTTGAAAATCCTAAAAAAATGTATTGAGGGAACTAAGTCGTGTTTCTCAACAACCACTGAGTCAAATTGGTGCAACAACTGCTACATATTTTTTTTAGAATACTAGTAGGACAGTCGGATAAAACACTTTTTTTCGTGGTCCTCGTGTTCGGTCCCTTTCGTTCACGCACATCCATGTCCTGTGTTTTTACACTTGTGATGCCCCCTCGGAAGAGTTGACGTTTTGCGTTGTTCAATCAATCAACTAATCGATTAACTTTTGGTTACGGTTCTGTCATTTTTCCACCAAGACTCTCTGCAGAGCATGTTTTAAACTTTTACAAAACTTGTCGAACCTCTTAACGGAATCCTTTTATGAAGAGCTTTGAGTGTGATGGTTTGTTTCCTTTAAATTGCTTATCTTTTGACAGATACGCGAATTTCGTATAATATTTGCAGACTTCATCAGTGCCAAGTACTCAACACCACCATCTGTCAAAAAATAAGCAATTATAACGGAATTTAAACGAAATAAACCTATACACTCAAAGCTCTTCACGTTTTAAACGATGCATGATGATCCTCTGGAGAAGTTAATGCTTACTTGGCATGATATAACCGGTAAAATATTGGATTTTTTGGCTCGTTAATCGATTAATCGATTATTCGAATAAAAATCGGACATCAATAGATGAATGTGAAACGTCATTTTGACATCCATCATCAATGTCAAATATAAGGGCAGTTCATAAATAATGTGAAAATTTGAATGGGACCGGAGATTATTACAAATGACGTATCAGAGGTAACTGAAAAAAACGTGTATGTAATCGTTTATCGTTGGAACACCATCAGAAAAACATTGATTTAGGGAATTAAGTCGTGTTTTTCGGCAACCACTAAACCTAATCGGACGCAACAACCACCAACATGGCAGCAACCCTGAATGGGACGAATAAAATGCAAATGCATATGTTATTTATTTAATTCCACTTATTACTTTATTTTGCAGGTTGCACAAGTTCGCGGGGATTCAAAGTATTACTCAACTATCCGGACGATTTTCGCTTCGATGCTGTTATCTACGACTGTTCAGCTGGCCCGTGCATCTCAGGTTTTCTACACAAATTTGGTTATCCTCCTTTAATCAGTGTGTCAGCATTTGGATTTCCACCATTTAGTCCACTTCTCGTTGGTGGTCATAAACCATCGCCATATTTTGCACTCGCATATGACAGCAGAATGAATTTCTTTGAAAGAGCAATGGACTTTCTGGTGCAGAGCTTCGACTCAGTCTATCATCGATGGGTGTTTTTAGCTCGCATACAAGCGCTTGCACAATCAGCTTTCAACTTCCCACTACCGTATTTGATGAACATCGAGAAACGCACCCAGTTGATGTTGGTTAATTCGAATCCAATACTTGATAGTGCAGAAATTTTACCACAAAATGTAATCCCTGTAGGAGGACTTCAGGTTGTGGATCCGAATCCTTTATCTCAAGTATGCTTGGCTAAACTCACATATTTGAACAAATGCTCATTAATTATTATTGTCATATTTACAGGACATTCTATCATTCATTGAAAGCAGTCCAAAAGGAGCAGTTCTTTTTGCAATGGGTACGAATTTCAAAAGCAAAATGTTCACCCGGGAACGGCAGATGATGTTTATGGAGGCGTTCTCTAAGCTACCTGAGTACAATTTTTTGTGGAAGTTTGACGAAGAGAATCTTCCGGTTCCTACTCCACCCAACGTCATGATACGAAAATGGCTTTCGCAAAGTGACATTCTGGCGCATCCCAAGATAAGGGCCTTCATTACACATTGTGGATTGCTCGGTACGTACGAAGCTACATATCATGGAGTACCTATCGTTGCAATTCCTATCTACATAGATCAGCATAAAAATGCTGCACGATCGATAAGAGACGGAGCAGGGCTCTCATTGAGTCTGAGAGCGTTATCAACTGAGTCAATTGAGAAAACGTTAGTAAACTTGCTCGGAAACGATACATTTCGAATCAATATGCAAAAAAGGTCAGAGCTTCTAAGAGATCAGCCAGAGAAACCACTCGATCGCGCTATCTGGTGGATTGAGTGGGTTCTCAGGCATCCACATGAGTATCACTCGCGGTCTCCTATACTTGATATGAATACAATAGCAAAGAACAATGTCGATGTGATCGGTTGTTTAATTTTTATTTGTGTAGCTGAATTGTATATTTTCTATAGATTTTTAAGGTGCTTAAAAAGTGTACGGCAATCTAATAGTATTGTTAATACTAAAAAATCTCAGTAGAAATAAAAGGCTAGGTTAATAATCGTTATCTTTTCTTCTTATCATAATCTACGTGACGTCCTCCAAATAATAGTTTCTTCAAAAAGAACAGAGCTAACAGTGGTACAACCATAAGAAAAGCGACTACGTCGATTAGATTACTTCTAAGGAATCCCAACTTCAAAACCGGGGATTGTAAGCCTTCTACGTCGGGATGACGGAGCACCCATTCAACCCACCAAACGGCACGGTCCAGCGGTTTCTCTGGTTGATCACGAAACAGGGCCGATACTTTTTTCATGTTCTCTCGATACTTGGGTGTTTTCAGAACCTTATTCACAGTGTCACGAATCTGTTCCATTGACAGCGTTTGGAAAACGACTCGCTCTGCAACGCCCATACGGATGCATTTTTCCAGGTTCTGAAAAAGTAATAAAAGTAAAGTCTTGTTCGATTAATATATTCGTAATATATAATTTCCTATTGGGGGTAATGACGGCTTCGGCACTTCTTTACCTATTATCGTTGGGGGGTATTATCAAAAATCAATACGAAACTAACGATTTTAAATTGGCTCACTACTTGACTAGCCTATTGGTCCCAAGCAAACGATTAACGTACCCCATTCTAGTCAAAATTCTACTACTACACAATGTTGGTTTTGATTCGCTATGAAAGTTTGACAGATAAAATGAGGGGTTAGTGGATTTTCCTATGTTTCGAGGGGTGCATCGATTAGCTTGGGACCGAAGATAGTACCACAGCTGAGCCAAATAGTTGAGCACGTTTCTTCGGGACCTACTAGTCTTAGAGTTACCTCTATGGTATTATCGTATTATCGTCAGTCTTAGAATGTTTTTTTTTTGCAAAACGATACTCTGGATGATGATGCATCTTCATGCAGAAAATCAGCACTCAAGGGCTTCATTAAATCTCCGGACAATAATAGCTAAAGAAATAACAAAGGCGTTATTTCCCCTATGTAGATACAATTTACTATTTTGTTTGGAATGCCTGACGCAGAGGGGATAAATTAAATAATTGTCATAATATGCCATCTAAGTATTCACAAAAGGAAATGTTCAACATTCAAACATAAAAAATCCAAAACTCATAAAATAAATTAATTTTTCAAAATAATAAATTACGATTCATCCGAAAATTGCAGTGATTCAGGTCTCTACCAAAAGGATGAGAAGGTTTGATATGGTCCAATGCAGGACTCGAATTGCAAAATGTTAACAACTGTACTGTTATTGTATTAATTAAGCAGTAGTGTAGAACGGGGTCAAATTGATCAGCGGGGTGTATATGATTACTGATATTTGTCATAAGATATTTCAATAAGAGGCGTGGTGAACAAGCTTGGCATACACAGTTTTGATCATGAACTGCTCATTTGCTAATAACTTTACACAGAGTTGACGAAACATAGTTCTTTTTGAAGCAGTAGATAGAAAAGAGTTTAAGCTTGTTATAGATACATAAAACAAAGTAGATTTTAATTCTAGTAATAAACTATATTTGTTTTTGCGTTGTAAAAATGAAGTGAGAAATGCTCGCATCTCGGACTTTAATAGTAAAAATTCATTGGTGTTGATTCAAATGTTAAGATTTATCTACTTTTTGCATATCTATAGTAAGCGATGATCCTAATCTATCAATTACTTTAAAGAAAAACAAATTTCAACAACTGAGTAAAAGTTATTAGCAAATGAGCAGTTGGGGTGTACAACTGTGTATGCCAAGCATGGTAGAGAATAGCCCGGAAAGTTTCAAAGATTCACATAATTCATGAGATTTCGGAGAATCGGGCCTCCAGTAGTGAAACATTAACAACATATCAAGAATATAGTTCACTCCCCTGTGGTACCTTCCAGCCATTTTGTTCGTTAAAACCGCGACCGCAAGAAACAAACAACCGTTCGCCGCAAAGTCTGTCGAGTGAATCTCCTACGCTTTCAAAATGGCTGGAAGGTACAACATCCCCGATTTTCCATTCATCACGCAGGTGACAGAAACTTCCTGTTCAACACACCACCTAACGCCGGAAAAGGCAACCAACATGCACTTGATTATGCTTGAAAATTATAATTTAATTACATTAATTACAATCAGGCAATTTAGGTTTAGTCCTGTAAATACTTATGGGAAGACAAAAATAGTTGTTTAAACAAGATTTTATTTAAATTGCTGCTGTAGCTTTGTAGAAACTTTTCTAATGTTTATAAAATATATTAGTTGCCTTTTCTGACGCAAAACGCGTTTTTTGACCGAAAAGCGTGTCTCCGAAAAAACAAAAGAGTGATCTATACTGTAAATACAGTATATTTGCTAAAACACTGCCGCTATAGACGAATCCAATAGAAACTAAGTGATCGTCTTTGCTTCTAGTGGTTAATAGGGGAACCCTCAAAAGAGTGTTGAGAGCTGACATTTTCTTTGATAAGCATGGGATGAGACACATATTTTCATCTTTCTTGATTAATTAATGTATCGTAGGTGCAGACATCGTCATCCACGTGGAATATTTTGTTTCCTGTATTGGTTTTACAGTGATCAGTAGTATTTACAGATATTTTAGTAGTGAACAAAAATAGATTTATAAAACTGTCCCAGTGGTTATGATCTTCCGTTAGCTGTAAATTAGTTCAGTATCTAGTACTAATTTGACTTACCCGATGTTGATCAGCAATGAAGGGGATTCCTATCATGGGAACGCCATACCACGATGCTTCATGCATACTTAGCAACCCTGTGTGCGTGATGAAACCCTTCACGTCCGGATGGGCCAATATATCGTTCTGGGGCAACCATTTTCTAATGATCAGGTTCTTCGGAAGTTTCAAATCCAAATCGGATTCAAATTTCCATAAGAAATTATAATCTGGGATCTGCCTTATAGCGTCGATGAACATTTGTTGGCGCTCCTTGCCAAGTTCGTCACTTCTTATATTGGTTCCAAGCGAAAATAAGACTGCCCCTTTTTTGCCGGCGATTATGAAGTCTTCTATATCTTTAGGAAGCTGTTGTGGATTTTTTATCTGTAGACCACCGACAGGAATTAGATTGGGTGGAGCTGGTTCCGGAAAGTCGATGGAGTAATGAGCATTGACAAGTATGATTTTTGATAGACGATCAATGTCCGGCACGTATGGAAGGTCTTTGTATTGGAAGTAGTCTCGAACCATACGATCCAATTTAGGATTGCTGATGATTGTTCGGTACCTTGAATATGTATAAAAAAAAAAATAGAATCTTGTATGATAGAATAAGCCATTTTTCGTACGCATAGTCAGTAGCATATAACAGTGTATTGTGAATACGTTGCCAGAAGGTCATGTCAGTGCCATAGCTCAGCGAATAGAAGGGAATGTAAGCGAAATGCTTGTGTCCTCCAATGACATCGGTTACATATGGCGGATTGTTGAAAGCAGTTACACTGACCAATGGTGGATAGCCAAATTTGTGCAATAGTCCATGTAAGCATCCTCCACAGGTCATATCGTAGAGAACCAGATCGAATTTAAAATCATCAGGGTAGTTTTTGATGAAATCCAGACCTTTCGATTTTAGAATTCCTAAAATATTATTGATTCTTAGCTAAATAAATTATGTTTCAGCAAATATCACCTCAACCACCTTTGCACTCTGTAAAAACGAATTCGTCATAGAATGATTTTATGGACATAAAAATGTTTTCATTCGCCATCTCCAGCAAGTCAATATTGTGTGGGCCACTATACAATTCGGGATATGTTTGCTCCAACTCAATATAGTGAACGTTTGATGGTGCATCTTTTTCTATATCCGCCGAAACGATTGTTACATTGTGACCTTTGGATGACAATTCATGTGCTATGGCACGATTCCTTAAATAAAGAAACGTTATCATATTGTTGAGAAGACAGGTAAAACATTAAGCTCCATACCAAATGTGATGGCTGGGACTGGCTACTCCGAACAAACATAGAATATTGGCTCCGAAAGCAACACTCACTAATTGCACCGCCACAAATATGACACTCAGTATTTTCTTCATGCTATATAGTTTTTGAGACAACTCCTCAAGCGACCCGAGTGGATTGAAACCGGGAGTCCAACTAAATTGAAACTCATTCTCATCAATTGGCTCGGCGCTTGGTGATAAAAATAAGCGCGAGAATCTACTGATTTCACAGTGGCCAAGGTCATGCGCTATCTTGTTTCGGTATAGGTTAGCGATCATTATGAGGAGGAAGTGTGTTTGGATGTCCAAAGCATATCAGTTGCGGCATGGCGTACACCTAGATTTGGATTTATTTTTGGATAATTGTATATATATAACTGATTCGTTAAGCTTAAAATGAATGTGTCCTCTTATTTGAGATTATTGTGGCTTTAGCGGTTCAGCAACGGCCATCTAAAGCATGCAACAGTTAGAACGAATAATTTCCACACGCCTCTGGTCTGGTCAGCTTTGAAAAGTTGTAACTTTGTTCTCTTAAGATCAATTGAGCGATTTACGATTACAAAATACCAACTTTTTGGAAGCACCTGTTGGAAAGTGAGACACTAGGTAAAACTGTTCAAAATAATAGCATACAATTTTACCTAGTGCCTCACTTTCCAACAGGTGCTTCCAAAAAGTTGGTATTTTGTAATCGTAAATCGCTCAATTGATCTTAAGAGAACAAAGTTACAACTTTTCAAAGCTGACCAGACCAACAGGTGCTTCCAAAAATTTGGTATTTTGTAATCGTAAAATTGAACATATTTGTAGTTCTGTGGTGAACGTTTCAGCTCAATTGATCTTACGAGAACAAAGTTACAACTTGTCAAAGTTGACCATTTAGTATGGAAATCGGCATGCGCTGCTATTATATTGAACACAGGTGTATATGTATGTGATAGCAGTTCTTATGTTTTCTCTCCCTAATACAGCTAGAAAATTTTGAATAACTGTTTGGACATTCAACAAAAACGCATACATTTTTTACAGTTCATTGCTTTGAATAAGTAGAATCAATATCATTGAATTGTTGTTGTTTCTTTTGCTATTTTATTCAGTTTGATTTGAATATGAAAACTCGATAAGAGGAAAGTTGATCCTCCAAGGAATAGACACTTAGTCCTAAGATATGAGTGCAAACAAATAAAAGTATGTAGGGGGATAATTGAACCTCCAGAATTTTCACACATTCCATCGAGTGAACATTGTGTAAACATTTATATTAAAATACATATCATAAAAAGGGTATCAACTGTCCCCCATCTTTTAATACTGTCTTTTCTGGATTTTTTTTTTTAAATTTAGGAATTTATATTTCATGTCAGAGGCTCGAGAGTATTTAAAAACATATATTTGAGAGTCTACTATCCCTCACAAAAATGCATGCTATCAAAAGCGGATCAAGTTTGCCCCAATTTTTCAAAATTCAAGAACAACATGTGAAAATGGCATACAAGCTTTTTGTATACATACTTTCTTATGCCCTTTTATCGCCACCCACATTACACCCACGCAAACCATCATTACCGGGTAGGGGAAACATTCTCTTTCCCGATGATGTTGTTGGTTTGTGTGGGCGACCCTCGGTTGGCGAGAAAAGGCTTTTCAAATGTTTGTTTACAAAAAGCTTGTATGCCCTTCTCACATGTGGCTTTGGAAATAAGTTTTGGGTTAGCTTTCATAAAGCAACGTTATTTTACGATTTTACATTATGTAGCTTTGGAGGTTTTAGATTATATATAAAGGGACATAAGATATTACAATAAAGGCCTATGCAAAAACCGCATCATAATTTGATTTTCACGCTGAGATATCTATATCCAAAATTTAATCACTCTCCTCTATAACTTTCACTTAGTCTGCAATTAATAGAGATAAGTGGAGTCCCACATTGAAACATGTATTTGAGTAAGTTATAAAACATCAGAATAAGTGATTCACGTTAAGTATTTTTTCTATTCATTCTTTTCGAAACAATATTTATTAAACAAGTTCTTAGAAGGGGTAATTTGCAACTATTAGCTCTAATAAAAAAAAAGATAATTATGTTCCTATGAAAAATCATGCGAAGAGAATTTATGTGTACATAATAACTAAAGTTTAAAGACTTTGTGTCAAACACTTATTTTTCACAGATCTGTTGAAGAGGCTTACACAGAACTCTGATCAAGGTATTTGATATGGACTCATTTGGGTTTTTTTTTAATCCCAATGTAATTCTTAGAAACTTCCCGGTCATACTGACGCTAATTCGGAGTCCGAAATGTATATAAGGTCTAAAACATCGGCTTAAGTAATCAATAATGTTATAGATCAGGTCAGTTAAGTAAGATTATTGTTTCAAATATTAAGTTGACCTTCTGAGAAAATTTTCAGCAAAATTGATGATGATTAGGAGGTACCTACTTCAAACTGTTGTAAACCTTTACATTATAAGTACCTTCATTAGCCGACATGACCAACTACATAAACTTCATGATATAAGTTCATTTGGTAGACCATATTATTTCAGAATAAGGAGCAGTGATCTTTTTTCATCCATCAGTCAAACAGGGATCTATGACTATGGTCTCTTATTCTAACACCGACTTTTTCTGGTGAGAGCAAGTCAAAATGCAATAAAAATCACCTTTATTTACTTATTTATGTACGCCTGTAACCTAAGATTTACACCTTTTTTCTTCGCAAAGATAATAGATACAATAAGCTGCATATTTCGCATAATGGTTAAACTCATATACTTGTAATTCAAAAACTATAACTAATTCAAAATCGTTCTGAGCGGAGGCGAACCAGCCTCAGGCTGAATGGAGGCTTTCAATGTTACAGAAGAATGGAGGAATGGAGGCTTTCAAAGTTAAAGGCTGAATGGAGGCTTTCAAAGTTGAAGAAAACTAACCAACTAAATCGTACTGAAACATTATCGTACTATTTTCATCAATGATCTCCTGCGGAAGGTCGTTCCAGTTAATAACTCCTCTAATGAAAAAGGAAATCCTCACTATGTACAAAGTCAGGATATCTACTTGAAGTCTGCACATAGACTAGTGTCATGTAGTGAGATAATTTCGAACTAACCAGCCCATAAATTAGAAGACATTGAATACCGGAACATCTTTCAAGAAGACGGAAACTTTCTTAATAGTGAAGATCTCAAGATATATTTTATGCAGGAAATTGACTTGTACATTGACGCCGCTTAGTGAGAAAATTCTGTACTATTGCTTTCTAACAAATCCGCTTTGACCTACTGTGCAATTTTACCGAAGACAGTAGCCTTTTATATGGCCAGGATCATGTGAAATTCCATGTGGCCGTAAGACTGATGCAAAATTTGAAATTTTCGCTCCACAGTGCTCAAACGGTTCTAAATTGGATTAGCCTCCCAACATTTGAACTCATTAAGTAAGAAACTGACTTGGCACAACCCATTTGAAGTTTATATAGAAATTACTATGGGGAAACCATAATTTCGGTTCATATCTAACTCAAAATTCACCAATTCACTCTACTTTAGAAAATGACAGCTGCGCTTGTTGGAAATTATCTCAGCTACACATTTGTTCCGGACCACTTTTCGATTAAATGTAATAGTACGTTCAGACTACAGAGTTATAACATGTTATAGCGCTATCTTGATGGTGGATTCTGTGTTGCAATTATTTGACAACCGTTATAACATGTTATAACTATCCAGTCTGGCCAGCGTTTAAGGGTCAAAAGTTATTAATGATTCAAGTCACTGATGTCTTATGATTATGCTCAATCTCTGTTCAGCAGGCAACATTGGTGTTTCTGGCGCGAATAGTAAACCTAAACTTCGTATAAAGGGTTATACCATAGAGGTAACTCTAAGACCACTGGGTCCCGAAGAAAATCATTATTATTTTTGGCTCACTCAGTACCAGAACAACGGTCCCAAGCAGTCCCAAGCTATTTCACTCACCCCTGCATATTCTGCATGAATCCACACACCCCTGATGTTATCTGCCAAACTTTCATAGCGAATCAAAACAAACTTTCAACTAGAATAGGGTACGTTAATCGTTTGCTTGGGACCAATAGGCTACTAAAGTGGTGAGCCAATTTCAAATCGTTAGTTCCGTATTGATTGTTGGTTATACGGTCAAAATTTGGTCAATATCAACTTGACGTATTTCTTTCAATTTTGCATTTAAAAAACCTGAACACCCCTCATTTTGAAGGTGTGTGTGTGTAGAATGTTGCTCCTATTTTGATTTTGGAATTCACTCTTCAGTTGTCAAAATGTCGTCCAAGCAAGAAGAGCAGCGTATCAAAATTTTGCTCGCGCATCGCGAAAATCCGAGCTACTCGCACGCAAAATTGGCAAAATCGCTAAAAGTTGCCAAATCAACCGTTACAAATGTAATTAAAGTGTTTGGGGAACGTTTGTCGACAGCCAGGAAGTCTGGATCGGGGGGAAATCGAAAACCGGAAGCCGCTGAGACGACAAAGAGAGTTGCCGGTAGTTTCAAGCGAAACCCTAACCTCTCTCTCCGAGATGCCGAAAATAAGCTGGGTGTATCGTCTACAACCGTGCATCGAGCCAAAAAACGAGCCGGACTATCGACTTACAAGAAGGTAGTGACTCCAAATCGCGATGATAAACAAAATACGACGGCCAAAGCGCGATCCCGGAGGCTGTACACGACGATGCTGACGAAGTTTGACTGCGTGGTAATGGACGACGAAACCTACGTCAAAGCCGACTACAAGCAGCTTCCGGGACAGGAGTTTTATACGGCAAAAGGAAGGGGAAAGGTAGCAGATGTTTTCAAGCACATGAAACTGTCAAAGTTCGCAAAGAAATATCTGGTTTGGCAAGCCATCTGTACCTGTGGCTTGAAAAGCAGCATTTTCATAGCTTCAGGGACTGTCAACCAAGAAATTTACGTGAAAAAGTGTTTGAATAAACGTCTGCTGCCTTTCCTGAAGAAACACGGTTGTTCCGTACTGTTTTGGCCGGATTTGGCATCTTGCCATTACGGTAAAAAGGCCATGGAGTGGTACGCCGCCAACAACGTGCAGGTGGTTCCCAAGGACAAGAACCCTCCCAACACGCCAGAGCTCCGCCCAATTGAAAAATACTGGGCTATTGTCAAGCGGAACCTAAAGAAGACCAAAAAAACTGCTAAGGGCGAGCAGAAGTTCAAGGCAAACTGGCTTTCTGCGGCGAAGAAGGTGGACAAGGTGGCTGTACAAAATCTGATGGCAGGGGTCAAGCGTAAGGCCCGGCAATTCGGATTTGGAAAAGCGGAAGCCTAACTGAATATTTTTCCTGAATTTTATACTAATTGAACTTGAAAAAGAAATTTAATTTGATTTTTTAAATAAACGATTTCACCGATTTGCACGCGTTTTCCCTTGACCAAATTTTGACCGTATCACCCTTTATCTACATATAAACCCATAGAACTGGCCTCACTGCAGCAAAGAGCACACTGAAGAAGGTATAATTTGTTGCGAATAAGTATTAGTTCCTGTTGGAACATTAGGTCGTTACAAATATCTATAAAAACATATGTCACCCCCCGCTTAAAACCTGTCACGAAATATTAAGGGGCACAAACATTTTTTTTTTCAATTTTCTAGTGAAAACTGATGTTCCACTAAAATTGAAAAAAACTAATGTTAATATTATTAATTGAAATGTATGTTTCGAAAACTTCTAATAAACAAACCATGAATTAGTTTGTTTGTTTCCAAGAATAAACCTGGATTTTTCAACCTATGGTGAGATCTAGCCCTTCTTACGAATTTATAATCTGACAAAAAATACTAGTTGTATAGCTTGACGAATTTCGGCAAGATTCTGAACACTTCGTCGACATCAGGTATAAACAATGTGGCTTCAGGCACACAATATTTCTATCATGAATGCTCATGTGATCTGAGTGTAGCAGATGGGTCTTAGATATATCAGAGTCTGGATAAATTCCAGGAGGCATCCAGATCATGACCAGGTATGACCAATGTGGGCGTTGAATCATGCCTGGTTGTTGAAACATGGAGAATATAGATGAATGTTTAGAGATCGTCCTCCAGGCCTATGTTCGCAAATTAGTTCTCCAAGTGTTGTGCATACCCTTCTTTGTAAGAATAGTAAAAAGAGTGTACCAGGTAGGCTCAACTTGCCAAATTTCCTTATCGCTTGCGTTGGTACAAAATGATTGAAACGTGTTAGATAACATTAGCGTAGAATTAGCAGCGAGCCGCAATTTTGAATTTTCATTGCAGCTCCAGCAGTTAGTTGATTTAGTACGATAGTGATGAAATCAATTGGTGCTGTTGTTTTGATTGTCTTCCTCGCAGTGTCCATTGCGGATGGCGCAAATATTTTGTACATTGCCGGAGTTGCCTCTAGAAGCCATTTCATATGGTAAGTTAATTCTATAAAGTAAACGGGTGTCAGGGGGTTATAGATTTTTTCTCGCCAGGAATCGATCCTTGATTTACGGACTAGCTGATAAAGGGCACAACGTAACAGCTTTAAGTTTAGATGTGGAGAAAAATGCTCCTGAAAATGTCCACTTTATTCACATGGAAGGCGTATACGATAGTATTCTGAACGATTCCAGTTCGGCACAGTCGGATTTCTTTGGAATGGGTAAAATTAGCCCTTTCGGAATGCTTTTTGAGTTCGATGAATTTTGTATCAGCTGCTGCCGTTATAGTTTGAAATCAAATGGATTCAAGACCCTTATGGACTATCCATCTGATTTCAAATTCGATCTCATCATAAACGATTACTTGGGAGGACCGTGTATATCAGCTGCTGCACTGCATAAATTCAATCGCCCACCTTTGGTGGCGGTTACTGCATACAACGGGATGACTACAACTACGCCGTTGGCTGGATCATTTGCGTACTCAGGAGTCATTCCAAATCATGTTTTTGATGCAACTGAAGACATGTGTCTCATTGAACGAGTGAAAAACTTTTTCTACGATTACTATGAAATAGTGCTAAAAGAGCATTATACATATCCAACCATGGACCAATTGGTACGAAAAATCATTCCAGATATAGACTACGTTGCAGAGTTCAATAAACTTGCCCGTATAGTGATGCTGAACGCAAATGCTGCTATTCAGTTTTCAGAACCGAGTATGCCGAACGTGATTGGCATTGGTGGTCTCCAAATTCGCGAACCAAAGCCTCTGCCCAAAGATCTTCAAACCATATTGGATAATGCCAAAAATGGGGTAGTTTTATTTTCGTTGGGTTCGAATGTCCGTAGTGATACTCTAGGAAGCGAAAGAATCCTCGCCATTCTCGAGGCAATGAGGGCATTTCCAGACATCTGTTTCCTATGGAAGTTTGAATCGGATACGTTTCCAACTGAAGTACCCAAGAACGTGTTTATAAGACCGTGGATGCCACAGAATGACCTACTGGCGCATCCCAATTTGAAGCTGTTCATTACGCATAGTGGTCTACTGAGTACTCAGGAGGCAATTTGGTATGGAGTGCCTTTGATTGGATTCCCAGTATTTGCCGATCAATATAGGAACATCAACTACTGCACGAAAGTAGGAATCGCGAAGCGTCTTTCTATTGACAAAGTCAATTCAGAGGAGTTGAAACAAGCTATCCAGGAAATGATATCTGATCCTAAGTAATATTCAAATGATTTCTTGGTTGATTGTTGAAGCACAGCATGATATATTATTTTCCAATTTTAGGTACATCCAAAACATGAAAAAATTATCTAAAGTTTTCCGTGATCAACCTGAAAAACCTCTGGAGCGTGCCATTTGGTGGGTCGAATGGGTTTTGAGAAATCCCGATGTCAATTATCATCAATCATCTGCAATTGATAAAAGCTGGGCTACAAAATATGCATTCGACGTGCTGTTGGCAATCTTTATCACGATTGCAATATCGATCCACGTTATCATTTACTCAGTCAATTATTTTGTGTTCAAGAAACAATCAACCTCTACGAAACAAAAATCAAAAGGAGAATAAAAATAAAATCTGAATTAATCCATAGCCAGTGATACATTAAATCCATAATTTTAAAGTTTATGATACAATCGGCCCTTCATACAACCTGAATATTCTTTGATAAAGGGAATCAAACTTATCTCCTCATACATTTTTGATAGTACAGCGTGGAGCAAAATCTTGCAAAATTACCATAATTCTGTAAGGAACATCGGGTCAAGTTGAAATGCGTGGGTAAGCAGAGCATAAAATTATTGACTGCTTAGGCTGAGTGTGAAAGCACTGCACTATTCAATCCATTGCTCTGTGCAGACCGTTTGTATCAAACGGTAAAGGACGACCCGACCAACCATTTCGTTAATTTTCTTTAATTTTCTATACATCGATCTTCAAAGCCATTAATAAGAAAAATCGATAGTGATCGTCACCATTTCATGAAAAATTGTAAAGATGGTAAAAGTCTAATCGTGAATCGTTTATGAAGATCTTGCTCAAAATATTGCTACTAATCGTTACCAATGTTAAAATATCGATTGTGTTGCCAGATCAAAATATCGATGTCTGTTGTAAAATCAAAATATCGATACACGCAACTGCTGATTTTGTTTGTGATTTTTTATCTGCATAATTTCTAGTTTCGATCCCACGCCAGCTGGGGTGTACTGATTTCGTTGTTGGTTGCTATTCCTCGGGTCCACGGCTGCTGTTGATGAGTTTATCAACGACAGGCAACCACACTCTAGTATGTGGTGTATTGAAATTTCTGTAAATCTTTTCACACATGAATTCAATATGTATTTGTCATAACCATCAACCAGTCAGCCATGTAGGTGTAAAAGAGGTCATAAAGATATAAATTTTCCTCATTGGGTTCCAAATGCCGAGAATCCCACCACGCATGCTATCACGGGTTATTAAATATATAGACGTAAACTTGAAGAACTACAATGGTAAACATTTGCTGCGTCGCGCCCATCGGTCTTCTCGTTCATTTACCGGCAGATTGCTTCTTCCGATGAAATGCCGAATATGTCGATAAATAATATAAACATTGCCATCTGTCACCTGGTGTGTCTCGAACTCTCTTTAATCAGCAATGCAAATCGATAACAAGGAGATTATCAATGTGCATCGATGGCAATTTTTGTTGTTCTTTGTCAAAGTTCAAAGTTACGATGATATCAGTATTTAAATATTTATTGATGAATATTTGTAAAGAATACTCCAAAGTCCATGTGACATATCGAAATTAAAAGAAATTTAGTATGGCACCTTTATAGATTACTATCATATGACCGATGAAGAAATAATCTTAAATGTAAGTATCGATCAATAAAGATTTTTAAATGTGTATATTGAAATCATAGAAAATTTAAAGTAAAGAATTGCCCACATAAATCTTTATTTCTGTATAAAGAACTTTGAAGAAGTTTCACGACCGGTTGGTTGGGGAGGCAATGAAAGAGCCAACAAAAACATTCAGTCACTCACGAACAGGTGACTCACACCGCTTTCCTTCGCTCACACAGCATATAATTGAGGCATTTTTCCATAGAAAATGTACGCTCAGTGATTCAAAACAAGTCAGACTCTCACGAGGCAGTGAATAACGAGGTAGATGGAAGTTAATATTCATATAAAAATGACTCATTTAACCTGACTGTTTTGTGCACTGCGGGTAAGTTGAATCGGAAGGCGTATCTTTAACGGAAGCAAATAGGTCAGGTCTGTGCAAAAGCTCAGGAATGTGCCACTAACCTACTCAAATACTCATATCAACACAAATGGAAAACAAGTGCTGCTAGCGTAGTATTGTAAAAATTGTACATATACAGAAATAAATTATTTAGTCGTTTGGCATAAGGTCGTTTGACATAAGGTGATTTTGCATAATATTTTTTACAAATAGTCATTTAGCATAAACTAAGAAACACGTGAAAATAGAAAAGTGGGTCGCTTAGCATAATTTTCATTTGGCATAATCAAACGCAACATAAATGGCAATACATTTTTTTCATTACGTTTATTTATTTTTAGAACGTGATAATGGTAGTTTTGACAATAGATTACAGCGTATAAGCAGGTTTTTTTTTTTAATATTTGATTTTTTTCTACATATATTTTGATTTGATAGCGGCAGTGGCAACAATCTTAGTTCAAAATTTGACCAACATAAGCATTACGATACTATTTCCGTCAACATTTCACGCAATTTGTTCATGCGGTGAGATATTACAAATTCAAACTTCAATGCAAAACTGAAAAGGAATATTATATTTCACGATTAGGTGTAAATAAGGCGAATATATTTTTTAAATGTCACTTCATGCACATGTTTCGCCAAAATAACAAATAGCTACATGTCAATATGTAATATACAATTTACAATTTATACAATTATAGGCACTGTTACCTTACTGGTGATTGCGCCCAAGTTACGCACTTTTAATAGAGATTTCTGTTCTTTTGAGTTTTATTGATGCACTCATTGCTCTTCCTATTTAGCGAAATGTATTATTCTTATTTTGATTAAGTGTCACATGCAAAAATAGTATACTAATACCCTTAGCTCTATACTGGAACTCTCACTTGTTAATTTGTCCCCGCACTCAGTGTCAAAGTAATCGAAAGTTTTCCTAACTTCAAAAAATCACACTACATTATCCTCTCAGGCATCACCGTCCTGAGCCCATAGATTTTTTAAATATTATGTGAAACTCCAGATGAATTGAAGTGACCGGTGACTCCAAAAACTACTTATTTAAAATCGACCGACACAAACAAACACGACCCGCCGTGACTACCGTCAGTCTTTCACCACGACCCTCATGATCGTGTTAGGGCAGACGCGTACACACATGACAACACATCAAAAACTAATCGGCCATGAACATGTTCGATCGCGACATTTATTTCTTAATGGTTCATCTTCTTCTTCTTCCTCGCATTTCAAGCTTATTGCGTATGGCATATTAGTTTTTTGCGTGCTCTTAACTAAGTGTGTGGCAAGTAAAATCATACTCTATGCCCAGGGAAGTCGAGAAATTTTCCAACCCGAAAAATTCCTAGACTAGACCGGGAATCGAACCCAGCCACCTCCAGCATGGTCTTGCTTTGTAGCTGTGCCTTTACCGACTAAGCTAAGGGAGGTCCCATGAATCATGCTTCAACAAAAAAAAAATCATAACGCATTACACGTTGGTACCAAACGGTACAAACCGAGGAACATGCCTTACACCATCCCTCTGGCAAATGGAAAACGATGATAATAAATTCATAAGGACAAACTTCAAGCGGTACAGTGTTTTTATACTTATACAATTTTTTTTTCGTTGGATCATTTAAACTAATGCGTTTATTGATTAGAACTTTTATAGTATATCTCTATTTGATTCACGTATATTTCAAGCCGACCATTATTGAATCGATGATCAGCTGGTTGCCGATATCACGGTTTCACGGAAAGAAACCAATTTCTTAAAAAACAGTATGGTTTTATCATTCAACAAATGAAAACTTAGAGTCCCATCTAGCCTAGAACATTAAGAAATTAGTCGCGTGAATCCCATACCAAATTTCCAGTTTGATCTTCTTTCCAGAAATTGTTGTGGAAAAATGACCTTCGATAGAACATTTTGAATTAAATACCAAAATGAAAGGGTAGACCTACAGTTTTGATTGGGAGGGTATTTCAGCGATACGAATGACTGAGTAGGCTTGATCCTCGTGGATTTCTCAACATCCTGAGCAGACTTTTTTCAGGTAAGTTTCTACAAAGTATCGTCTAGACCAGGTATTTACCATTGATGTTGGGAGAATCTAGGAAAACGACAATAAAGGGAAACTTTTAGATCTTTTTTACTTTTATTTAATTGTGAACAGTGCTGACCTCCATTCTTGCGTTTTATGCTATGTTGTATAGTAAACAAAACTATTCCTGTTAATTATTACTGAAAAATCCTATAGAGAAACATGTCGTTATACCTTTCAGGTCGTTTTATATTCCGTTTAGGCCTCACAGACATTTGCTGACTCATATCTTCAGCAGAAAACTCCTCATCTCGCAGAGGACCTGCACTATTCCACATCTCGTGCAACTCTTCATCTCTCATACCACCCACGTCTGCATCCGGATTTGGAATAGAGTTGTCGTTTGTATCTGCATCGGCTACCTCGAAGTCCATTGCTCGTTTGACGTCCTGCACGTTTCTAGCATACTGTACACCCCGACTGCTCTGAACGACGACTTTGGCACCTTCCCGAGTCAAAACAGTGTACCTTTCCTTCGAAAACAATGGATCAATTTTGTTTGATTTTGCGACCGCAACTACGACCCTGTCACCGGCCTTGATGTCGGAAAGCTTAGCTCCTCTACGGTTGTCCGCGTAGCCCTTGCTCACAAATTTCGATAGAATATCATGTTCCTTAACGTTGTGAGGATCCAGTTCATTGTCAGACTTTGACTCCCAAAGGGCCGGAAATGTTCCCCGGTACTTCCACCCAACGAGAAGCTCGAAGGGTGCGATACCGAGTCTGGAATGGGGCTTAATTGTGTTGTGGACGTGAACATACCTATGAAGAGCAGCCCTCCAGTTGGTTCCATCTTGCTTGCTACCAGCTAAAGCTTTCAGAATTCCTTGATTCTGACGCTCTACGGCTCCATTCGACTGAGCGATAAGAGGGATGGATTTCCGAATTCTTACTCCTTTCTGTTCCCAATGCTCGACAAACTCTGTGCTGCGAAATGGCGGCCCATTGTCCCGGGGAAAATCAAAACAAAGCCTTTCGTTCAGAGACTTTCTCGGCTTTATTTCTCTATCACTCTTTCTCGTTTTCGCATTACCGAGAGACGGGCCTGGACAGCTTTCCGACGGTTCAGTCAAGCAGTTTTGAAAAAGATCTTAAAGTGTGAAGTTGAGTGATCATAAAATGCTGCGCAGGGATTACGGTCCTTTTCCAAATGGTGGAAATCACGACAATGGCACCGTCGAGGGGAACCGAAGCGCTCCCGGGTAAGTCTGTATA